TGAAATGTCTTTCAGTGTTTCGGAGACAAGGCAGCCTGAGCAGGCTTCCCCAGCATCCCTGCCCAGGGGGCCTGTGCACCCGGCTCCTGCTCCTTCTGAGCCCTGTGGCATCACTCGGGGACCCCCTTTCAGACCCGCGGACCTCGCTGGCTGTCAGGATTGTGTGTGCCACCTTCTCTCCTAGGGACAGCACATGCCTGGCTGATTCCGGGCAGGGCAGGCCTCTGACTTGCTAGGACACAGTTCTGATGATTGCCCTCCTGTCCTTGGTTGGCTGTGCCCACTAAGAGCCCAGGAGGCACCATGGCTTACCTTTGACCTTTCCATGGACACAGGTGCGTTTCAGGTAGAGATGCTGACCTCATAGGCAGGCCCCTGGTGCGGGTGCCGTGGTCCTGTGTGACCTGGTGAGGTCTGCAGAGATGTGGCTTGGGCTCTGTGGCAGAGATGCCAGCGTCTCTCAACACCCATTCCCCCTTGTTCTGTAAGAACATTACCGCTGTTTCCAACTGGGCATGTGGGCACGTGTGGGGAAGACAGCATTTCCCAGCCTCCCTGGCAGCTGGATGTGGCCACGCTGTGGCCGGGGTTTAAGCAGAAATGGTGTGCCCAGTCTGGGAAGCGTCCTTGAGGAGGCATTCGGGGTTCTGGGGTAGCCCTAGACGCATGCAGGAGGGGCGGGGGATGGCCCAGTGCCCTCTGCAGCAGTGTATCCCAGCCAGCAGGATCAAGGCAGGTGGGACTCCTAGGGGCCTAGGAATTCAGCTCTCACTTGGCGCCCTGGGTCTTTTAATATTTGTCAAAAGTGGGGGGTGGGGTGTAGGTAGAAGATACTTTAGATTACTACCCTTTGAAATGGATTCATAGCTTCTAGGTATTTAGACATATGTGAGGCCAGGTGAATTCTTGCCTCCAGGCCTGCAAATGTTTGTGGTGGGCTGGGGCGGACCCTCAAGACCCCCCCACCATGCAGGCAGGAGCTCTGGCATCGTGTGTGAACTGTCATCTCTGAAGGGCCTTCTGTGAGCGCTCCAGCCCTGTGTGGGCCCCACCCTCCCGTCCTCTGGGGAGTCAGACTGACTTCAAAGAGGGAATTCCCATCAACACTGAGACCGTGTCAGGGAATCTAACACCCTGCAACTTTGCCCAACAGGGACAACTTGCTGGGTCCCCAGAATTTGCAATATTATCTATGTTTCATGAGAATCAGATTTAAAAGACACTATTTAAATTGTAACACAATTTAGTTACTAAAGTTTACGCTTTCATACACTCAAACCTCAGATAAAGCATTTTTAAGTGGAAGAAATTGAGAACAATGAACTGTTTGGGTTTGGGGGCATAAACCCCAACACTTGCACGGCTCAAAATTCCGAATTTTTATCCCTGTGTCCAAATTGGATCTGGCACCACCATCAGATAAATATAGTGTGTTGTTACTTTTAGGTTTGAATCAACAAAATAGTTTAGCCTGCCAACAGGCTTGTTTTAAATAGGAATATTAAATACATTTTAAAATTAAAGTCCATGTCTTACATATTTATTTAAACCATGTATTACCACTCATTAATTCTTGGCTAAAAGGTTTGGTATCAGCAAGATGCTGAACGAGAGGTTTTGAATTTATAAATGTAACCTTTCAAGTGTTCACTTTTTTCTAAAAGAAGGTGTTGGGTCTAGAAGCTTAGTGACCCCCTTTGGCGTACCGATGGTGGACTTGCACATCTGATTTGGAGAGAAGGGACAGTGGGAGGGCATCGCCAGCTTCAAGCCCTCGCAGGGTCCTGTGGCCGCCCGAGGAAGAACACACTGCCTCCAAGGGGCACAGGAGCCAGGTCTGCCCACGGCCCAGATGCCCGGCCCTCCTCTGTTCGCGCGGAGGGACGGGCTGACGGACACGGCGGGGTCCGCATGTGGCCTGGTTGCCCCTGCAAATCCACTGCAAAGGAGATAAAAAGGGAGGTGAGCCCGTAGGTCAGAGGCAGCGGCGAGGGACCCCTCAGTCACATGCAGCGTGAGGCCCTTACTTGAATCCTGACAAAAACAAACCGACTGTAAAATACAGAGGAGCAAAGAGACAAAACAGAAAACGGGACAGTCAGAGAAATCAGCATGTAGGCTGGGTCTCAGAGGAGGCTGGGGAGCGGCCGAGCTGCAGAGCGCGGTGCGCTGCCGTGGCAGGTACAGAGAGAGCGTCCTATGGCGGAGGGATGCCTGCAGGGGCCGCCGGCGGAGGGCCTGCCATCTGGGGTCTGCTCCAGTCACCTGTTTGGAGGAGGGTGTAGACCCGGCGCACCTGAGGGTGGATCTGGAGCTGCTGCATGGTGTGGACACGCGGGCTCTGGGAGCCTTCTCTCTGCCTCTGATGTTTCGGGAAGAATCTCAAGTCTAGAAGATACTTGAAACTTAAAATGGATAAAGGATTAGCACCAAAATGAATTTTAAAGCTCCTCTTCCCAGCTTTGATAACTGAACAGGTAAACAGGACGAGGCCAGCCTGCAATCATTCATTCAACCTGTTTGTTGAGATACAATTATGTTTTAATCTTCGGGAGACGGGAGCGGACCAAACCATCTCAATGCTTATCTTCCAGGCGGCGAGGCCAGCACGCCAAAGGGATGACGTGTGCCGGGAGAGTGGCAGGAGGGGGCTGCGGGGACTTGGTGGGCGAAGCCCGGGTGGACCAGGATGTGGTTGGGTGAGTGAATGGTGGGCATATTCCCAAGGCAAAGTGGGTGGAACTGGCTGATAAACCAAACTAAGTAAGCCCAGGAGAGGACGCTCGGTTCTGCTCAGCTCTGGGCAGCCTCCAGGGGTCTCGGCCCCACAGTGCCCGTGCCCCAGGCAATCCTCTCCCTCTGGACACACATCACCTTAGACCTGGTTGTAAGAGGACTGGGTTCTGTCCAGGGGTGGGATCTCCAGTCTCCCTGCCTCACTTGCTCTGGGGCTGCCGGCCACCGGGTTAGGGAGGCCCACACGGAGGGGAGAGGCCTGCTGGCCGCTGTGGGCATGTGCGTGGATGCACACCCCTCCCCAGATGAACCCGGGCCAGGGGCATCCCACTGAAGTACACCCATGTTCCTGCCCAGGAAAACTGAGTTAATAAATGTCTGTTGCTTAAAGCCACTAAGTTTTGGGGGGTAGCTTGTCACACAGACGTGGCTCATTCATATACTCGAGTAAACAGGAAAACGGAAGCAAAGAAAATGTAGAGCTGCACTTACCTGATTGGCTGGCATTAAAAAGTGTGGTAATAACAAAGGCTGGTGACACTGTGGGAAACCAAAGTCCTTATCCGCTCAGTGCCGGGGGGCATGAAAACTGGTGCAAACACTTTGGGTGACTGCTGCTGTAACTAACGGAATGATGCTGCCAAGGGCCACCCCACTGCGGAGAGAAGCCCCCGTGGGTGGGCTCATGGAGAGACACAGGAGGCTCAGCTCAGTGTTACTCGTGGAAAAAAATCACCAATAACTTACACGTCTATCAAAACAGGGAGGGTCATGTGCCTGTGTAATGGCCACGTAATGAAGTGCTGCCAGCCCTCCTGACCAACCTGGGGACGTGTGTGCCCGTGAGCTTAAAGCGCAGCGACTTACTCTGGAGTTAAAAGAGCGAGAAGCAAAGATGGTTATAGATTGACCGCAGGCACTATGAATACATACTTCATAAAAAATGCATTTCCGTTCATAGAGATAGAGCAATGCAGGAAAACCGCAGACAGTGGAGAAGTCCACGCCCCAATTCTCGGGAGGCGAGAAATACAGGGGCTGTAAGACTTTACGGCAAAAGTGAGACGTGGGGATGCAGATAATCTGTTATTTTCTCCCCTCAGTGCTGGTAAGGCATTTGTTTCAAAAGGTAAAAAAGTACCAACACTTTATACCATATAGTAGAAAACTGTTTTCAGATAAAGTTATTTAAAAGATGTGTCACAAAAAACTTAACATTTTAATAAAACCAAAGAAAAGCTGCCCTCATGACCTCCTTGCCGGGGAGCTAGATTCACTCTATCAAGGTTTCTGTTCCTTTGTCTGTTTTAGAGAAAGAGAACCCTTGCTGGGACAGGAGCCTCTCATTCTGGGGAGATCAATGCATAGACTCTCGGGAACACCGGTCCCTGGTCCCCCCCCCCCCCCGCCTCCTCATGGCCCCGCACGAGTCACCTGCCGCCTGGACGCCGTGTACCGGGGAGCACGGGTCACCCGCCGCCTGGACGCTGTGTACCGGGGAGCACGGGTCACCCGCCGCCTGGACGCCGTGTACCGAGGCCCCGACTCTGGCTCTAGCTCAACCTCCCTTCTTCCAGGCTGGTCAGGGGGGATGGCTGGCCGGGCTGTTTCTGGGGCCCGCACAAGGGGGCTAGCGGCCCCTGCAGGGCACAGGTTGGGGTCCTGGAAAGCAGACCCTTAGATGGAGCTCATGTGGGTGTTTATGGGGAGCCCCCTTAGTGGGGCAGCTGTGATGGGGGGGACGGAGGGGAGACAGGGCTTGGGGAGGGAGAAGAGGGAGCTAGAATGGCCCGACTGTCCAGGGCTTGAGGGCCTCTGTGGGCCCCCCACCCCACCAAAACTGTCTAGTCACGACTGTAGGAGCCTGGGAGGGGCTGCTGTCACCGGGACGCGGAGCTGCCACCTGGGGGTGGCAGTGTGCAGGGGCGCTGGGGCCTTGGCTGGGCTCTGCTGACTGGCCACGCAGGGGCGGCGTGGGGACATGGGGGAAAGCGGCTGAGCCTGCGCCTGGTGCCCTCCTTCTGGCCTTGCTCACCTCTGAGGTCATTTCCAGCCCAGCTCGCCGAGGCTGGTGGAGTATTCCGGGGAAGAAAGAGGGCAAGGGCTTATTATTGGACATTTAAACTGAAGACAATTCCTTGGAACCTGCTTGTAGGGCAGAGGGGGCTGGGGCACGGATGGGTCCATCCCCCAAGGGACCATCCCCACAGGGCCCCAGACAGTGAGATTCAAAGAGGACAAGAGCACATGGAGCAGGCCAGAGGTGGGAGGCAATCAACGCTGTCTTTATTTACACCACAAGAGCACAAGTTGTCCCATGAGGTACAAAATACTGGACTTCTGGTGAAGTGCGAAGAGAGGAGGACATTGTCAGTGAAAATCCACCCACACAAAACAAGAATGAGAAAACCAAGAACAAAATCTCCACTGAGCAAAAGAAAGACCCGCTGGGAGTGCCGACAATCAGAGACAACTGGTTAAACTGCAGGAGAAACAGGTTGCCGCTCCCAGTGAGGGGCCCGCAGGTGGGCGGGGGCGGGAGTGGGCGTCACGCAGGACGTGACAGCAGTACAGCTTCTTCTACTGCATGTCTGCAGTGGCTCTTGGGTGAATAGGGTCAACGCCCCTCTAATGTATATATTATATATATATGTCACTCTCATAAATTGGAAAACAGCGCTTCCACTATGGAGCACACACACCAAAAACCAAACAAACTGTCCGCTTTCTTTTTCTTTCAATAGGAGACTTTTAATCATGTCAGACAAAGTGAGTGGAGCTAGGAATAAGCTCCACTTCATTACAAGGAAGAAATGGTTTCCTTTCGATGCAAAGTATAGTTTTAAACCACAGTGCTTGCACAGTTCACGACTGCTTAAAGTGAAATCTTAGTCATATGTCTAAAAGTAATTAAAAAGTCAACACAGCTGTGTGGAAAGGGCTCTTTAGGGCTATTCCGATTCTCCATCAGAATAAATGGTCACCAGGGCCAGGGAGGGCAGCGCGGACCTTGCCCTGTGCTGGGAGAGAAAGGGAAACAAACCAAACCAAAAAACCCCAAAACTCCTCCAAATCAACCCAAGAGAGACAGGCAGTTCACTTTGAATTCTGTGTAGTTTCCTTAAAACACTGTTTCCACATAAATACAATAAACTCTATTATTGGTATGTCACAAGTGCTAGATAAACTTTTTTTTCTTAATATGACAAATGTTTAAGTAGCTCTTTTTATTTTTCTTACAATAAAAAGTACAATTTCTTAAGAATAAGTTCAATAAGACGCAAACGTTCCCCCACTCTGTTTCAAGGCTTTGTTTTACAGAAAAATTTCCATCTTTTGTGTCTGTAAATGTCACAAAGGGGGGGGAACAAAAAGGCATTTTTCTTCTTCCCCAAAGCTGCCGAATTTGGCGTGCAAAATCCGTATACAATATAAAGACATGCCGGTCGGACAGTCCATGCAACCTCCAGGTGTAAGAAACTTAAAAAAATATATTCATATATATTTATATATATATTTATATATGTATCAATACCCATAAAACACGTGGGCCCAAAAGTCTATGAAAAGAATGGAATGAGCACGTGGCTGTGGGCGGAAAGAAGGAATGTTCCCGTTGAAGGAGAAGAACAACGAACTCGATGGCTAGTGCTGAAGGAATCGGACTGGCTTTTGTGTCAGACCGATACAAGACGGCCCTTCCTCTGGAAACAGACTTTTAAAAGTAAAGAAAAACCAAAATACTTTGACAAAGTGGCCCTTCAGAACCAGGGGGGCTGCCAGGCCCAGCTGGTCCGGGCGTGGCCCGGGAAGGCTGCCTGCTGGTGGGGCGCGGGCATGTCACGGTGCGGCTGCGAGGCAGACCCCACGAGTCTCAGTGGCATTGTGGGGCTTCCCGCGCAGGGGTATAAAGTGCTCGCTTGCTGACCCCTGGCCAGTGCCCCCAGGGCTTTTGCAAAGGAAAAAAATGGTTAACGGTCTGAGGCCCAAGAGGGGTGGGAGGAGCCCTCTCTGACACGGCGGTCTTGCCGAGTTCCGGCGGGCCTTCCGCCATCTGCCCTGGATGGCTGGCCCTGGGGGAGGGCTGAGTGTGTCTTCAAGAAAAGAAAAGGCTACACGGTAATGCTCTAAGCATGTTTGTGGAGCTGGAGTGGGCTGACAACACATGCTCCCCTTGCCAGGCCCCGGGGCAGAGGCCGCCTCCCTTGAATCAAAGTCAAAGAAAATCCCCCCAGTGAAAACTAGGCTCCCAAGAGGTCCACATCATCCCATCCTCTGGAAGAATGTGAGCTGATGTCTTCCTCCCCAGAGCCCAGCCAGCAGCGGAGGGCAGACAGCGGGGCCCACAGGGCTGCGCCAAAGAGCAGGCCGAGGAGGTCAGAGGACCGGCGGTGGAGCCCTGCCACCGCTCTGCGCCAGGTGGGGATGGAGGGAGTTGGTGTTTCCTGCTCAGCTGGGCTCCAGGGCAGAGAAGCCAGTCGGGAGGAAGTCAAACACGGCCCAAGCCCTCTCCGGCCCGCTTGCAAAGCACGGCCCCGCGCCTGAACGGCAGCATCCCAGTGACCAAGCATTTGGATTCACTAGGTCAGAAGCCTAGCTGTTGTCGCGTCTCTCTCGGAAGCTACCCTGTAAACATTACCAAACTCAGAAACGTGGCTTGGGGACCCCTCCCACGGGCACGCTGTGTCTGAGTTTCCACAAGTCTCAACTCGACACATGCTTTGGGATGAAACTGGTGGCTTCAAGTGCTGGAAACAAAGTTACCAGTAAAAAGTGACGGTCAGTTACTGTTAAAGAGAAAAAGCACAAAAACTGCTGTCCTGCTCAGGAATATGTCCTGTCCCTGCAGGCTTGCCACAGGCTCCACAATCCAGGGCCTGCGGCTCCCACGCCAGAACCCTGGCTTTGTGGCTGCCACAGGAAAAACCCAGAACGGGCACTGGGCTCCACTCTGGCCTCATGCATTGCCGACGTGCTTAAAGGGTCTCTGGAAAACTGAAGTTAAAACCCTATCCTGACAATGCAGTCAGAAGTTTAAGCACGAATTTCAAGAACCCTGACAGCCCATGGAGCCCAGCAAGCAGCCAGCTCAGTGTCACGGGCGACCCTCCCCACGCTACGGAGGGAAATACACCAGCCCTGTGATACTACTGGCGGGGAAGGGGGCCAAAAGCCCCTCGGCTTCTGCATACAGCTACTGCAACGGACTCTGGTGTCACTGTGCAGACCTCAGACCCCTCTTCCCATTCAATGCTTGCTTCTGGAAAATAAATCTGATGGCAACAGTTCTGTATGCCATGGAAAACTGCTCACTGTACAAAAATAAACAAAAATGAAAATAATAAAAAACCTTTAAAAGTTAAAAAAATGTACAAGCAAGAATTTAGAAAGAAAAAAGGTTTAGACATTACTACCATTCAGAAAATTGCTAAATGGTGAGGAAAAAAAAGTGAAATTCACAAAACAATGCTTATTCAGGATCTCTTTGTGAAAACCTCATAAAAAAATCAACAGCAAATTTATATTCTTTGCTATAAAAACTCATTAGGTACATATGTGCATGGCGGCTTGGAGCGGAAAGGGGTTCTGCTAGAAAATAATCAAACTGAAAATACAAACTTGCAGGGTGTTGCCTAGTGGCGAATGCGTTGGTGATCTGAATGCTATCCAATCTGGAGTTCAAAAATACATGTTTCAAACTAGATCCCTTTCCATAAGCACCTTGGTATCTAATTCACAAGTCATTCATTTGCCAGGGACCTTTACAGTCTGCATTTATTATATATATATACTTTTTCTATAAATGCATTATAAATATTTTATCAAGATTTCATAAGAATCAAGTTTCTTAGCTTGGAATACATTGGAATATATATTATACATATATATATTTATTTATACCTAAAATTTAAGCAATACTTCATGCTACTTGCTTTTAATAAAAAGCATTCCGGTCGTAACACTGACAGTGTGCCTAGGACATGCTTCACAACCAAATGGAGATGTTCAATTATTATATGATATACAAGAAAAGAACACTTTGGATTCAGTTAAAATTTGTTGGACTTAAAAACCCCCAACAGTATTTGCCACTTTTTGGGAACCACCTCCATTTTTCTCAAACAGCAATAAAGCGAAACAAGGGCTCCCCGCGGGCGGCCCCCCAGGGCGCGGCCCCTGCACCCGCCGCCCAGCCACAGGAAGCTGTCCCGCCGATTCCCGCTGTTTAGTTTTTCTTAAGGCATTGTTCCTCGGGCTTCAGAAAACCCCGCCACAAAGATCCATCAGAGCAATAAAAAAAGGCACAAACTCGCACGTCCCGAAGGTTCGGGACCAGGGCCGCCCCCGCGGGCGGGGAGGCAGGCGGCGACCCCAAAACCCTCCGGTCTGGAAATAAGCTACGAGATGAGTCGAGTGGTTTACACGGGACTGCGAACCGTGGGCCATAAACGTGAGCACCAGTTTTCGTCAAGTTTGGTTTGCGTCATTAGGTCTTTGATTTGCATTCTGTTCCTCGTGACAACGAAATGGCGCGACTCCGCGGCGAGCTGGCCCGGCGACCCGGGCCTCCAGGGGCCGCGGCGCCCCGCGTCCGTCCCGGGCCGGGGGTCGGCCCGGCGGCCTGCGGACTCCAGGCGAAGGCCGGCAGGGCGCGGGGGCGGCAGCTCGCTGGGCGGAGCCTCCAGACAGACGGACAGACGGGAGAGCCGCAGCTGCCGCGGGGGGGCTACAGGGGCGGCTCCTCCTCCATCGGCTCCTCGTCGGGCCTGGCGGGGCGGGGGGCGCACAGCGCAGAGGGGCCGGCGGTCAGCGGCCGAGCCGCGGGGCGCCCGCCCTGCCCGCACCCCCTCCCCGTGGGCCGGGCTCACCTCTTCTCGGCCGCCTCGACGCCCACTGACAGCGAGGCCATGGCGGTGACCGTCTCGGCTTCCTCGTTCTCGCGCTTCTGCGCCTCGACCAGGGAGTACCCCACGGTGGGGCAGAGGCGCTGCAGCGGCCGCCAGTACTGGCCTGGCGGGGGGCGCGCGGTTACGGGGTGCTGGCTGGGGCTCCTGGGGAAGCCGCCGCGCTGCCCGGCCCCTCGTGGCTAGGGCAGTGCTGAGTGGGGGCCACACCCTGCCTTTGGGGGCAGGTGCGCAAGGAGACTGCGCCCCGGGCCAAGGGGTCCCCCACGGCCCGCCCGCTGAGATGATGCCAGGCAGTAATCCCCTGGGGTCTGAGTGTGCGGGGGGCATGAGGGCAAGCTGGGCGGCCTGGACTCAGCCTGGGGGGTTGCTGGCTTGCAGGGCTCCTTATCGGGGAGGGTGGTGGGAACAGCTCCAAGGCCAGGAGCCCAGGGCCTGCACAGGGGCACAGGGCAGACCCGGGTTCCACGAGCTACAGGGACAGTCTCAAATGACTGGGTCATGCCAGAGACATCAGACAAACAGCCACCCATGAGGTGCTGTTCTTCTGAGCCACATGGGCAGGAGGCAGAGTCCCGGGGTGGTGTGCCAGCCCCCTGGCTCCCCAGGACCTGCCACCTCAGCGGGAGTGCTGGCAAACATGGCCTCTGCAGGACCAAGGGGAAGAGGCCGGACTCCAGGCATGGCTCGCATCTGCACCCCTGCAGCTGGGGACCCGAGCAAGCGCCTTCACAGACCCCTGCAGCCTCACGGCTTTGGCCGGGAGATGGAGCAGATGGCTGTGGGAACTGTCGGGTTAAATGAGCTCACAGCTATTAAATGCTTGCTCAGAGGGAGGCCCTGACGGGAGGCAGGGAGACAGAGAGGAGCCGGGGACTCGGGGCTCTGGGCAGTGGGTCCTTGCCTCCCACCTGCTTGGCCCTGGGAGGGTCCCTGCTGAGCACACGGCTGGATAACTTACTGTGGATCTCGATGACCTTCTCCATGGACCGGACAGCGTTGGCGTTGGGCCTCTGCTGTAAAACCTTTTCTGGGAGAGGATCAAGCTGGAAAATGGTGTAGAAAGGATGTATCACTCCCGTGTGCTGACACGCATGTTCAAAGTCAGCATCTGTGTCTTAAGCGTACTTGCTAACAGAGAAGAGAAAATAACTTTAAAAAGGCAAATGTGGCTTTGGTATTTATTATGCCACTTTTTCACAAAAGCAGATTTATTTTCTTTCAAGTATTTTTTGTAGGACACTCTCGGTAGATTTGGGGGTTCCTACATGAGTAGGACCAGATGGTGTTCAGGATGGGCTGCTCCTGACGGCCCCAGCGTGGTGTCAGCTGTTCACACCACAGCATTGCATTAGGGGAAATAATGATTACTTTTTGGAAATGTCACTTTCAAATCCCTTATCTTGTAAACAAGAATGTTTAAATATCGCCTGTTCACAGTTTTCTTCCAATAATGGGGATAAAAAGTAAACGGAAGGAAGTGAGCAGAATCTTGCAGAGATGTAATCTCTGCTCCAAGTTGCCCATCCATACTGGCAGCAGGTGACAAGGAATTCATTTACACGTCCATCAGAGGGCTACGGGGCAAACTGGAGCATCTGCAACAAAATTCCCACACCGGTTGGTTGGCACAGATCATGAAAACCAACTGTTAAAACCTTTAAGTAACTGGACAAGCCTACAAAACTGGGGGTGATCTCTGGGTTCTGGAAAAGAGTGGGAACCTGGCCAGGGAGGTAGGCATCCCGGGGAGGGGCCCTGCGCCACATGGGCCTGCGCTGGAGTGACCAGTCTCACCAGCAAGTGGAGCAGGTATGCGTGCACAGCTGCTGAGGAGAGCTCTGTCCTCAGCCTGGCTCTGACCCTGAGAATCTGCCGGTTCTGTAACAGCGAGCGGAGAGCTGTGGTTTGCAGCCTGACGGTGGTGCCTCCCGCGAGGCATTCGTCCCCAGCCAGGCTGCCAATTACTGCTGCCAGTTCCAAGAAGCATGCGTCCCCAAAGCAAACCCCATAAAACAAGGAGAATAAGGCTTCTAACACCATTCTCCAATAAAAGGGGTCATGCTCCCTGGCGAGATGGAATGTTCTAGGGGCTGAGGTGGGAGTACAGAGGAGCCCAGGTGGCTCGCCATGCCAGGGAGTGAGGAGGAGCTCCAGCTGAGACGATGAGGCATGCCCAAGGGACACACAGGCAGCAGGAAAGACGGGCACACAGTGCTGGGTCATGCCCACATCCGTGAGTCCACACTGGTACACACTGGTACCCTATGCCGAGTGCATCCACAGAGCACACATGCAAAGGGGACAAGGTGGCCGGACGATGGGGGACTCCGACTGGCACTGCTTTCTAGGGCTCATACCGGCATCCATGAGCTGAGCCATGTGGAAGGGAAGCGCTGAGAAGGAGACCCAGCCTTGGCAGCCTCCTCAAAATCCCTCACCCCAGTTCCATCTGAGGCAGAAAAATCAGATGAACGTGAATTCAGGGATAGTCCATAAAATGCCTGACCGGCACTCCTCCAAACTGCTGTAGTCATGAAAATCAAGATAACACTGAGAAGCCGCCCTAGCCCAGAGATGTAGTGATCGGGTGTGCTGTGGGGCCTCGGGTGGGACCCTTACATGCCAGGGCTGGTTTCTGGATGGCAACAAACATCCCACACTCATGCAGGATGGTAACAACAAGAGGAAATTATCAGAGGGGTGTGCGGGCCCCACCTGCCAGCTCTGCATCTTCTGTCAAGCCAAAGCTCCCCGAAGATTAAAAGTTCATCAAAAAACTGCAGATTTAGATTCCCAAAGAATGCAGTTACAGAAACTATTAGTTTCAAACTATAAGGTAAGTGTGTTTAACATACACTAAAAATAAAAGTAAGACCTTAAGATATGATGAAAGCACTAGAGATTACTGAGATGAACTGGGAGATTTGAAAGAGAGCCAAACAGAACTTCTAGAAAGAAAAACATAGTAGTAGAAATCAGAAACTCAATGAGATCCACTACTGAAGAAATGATCCACATGTAGCCCAGAGACAAGAGGAGTGGGGGACAGGAGAAAGTCTCTGTGTACCCTTTGGTGTCCCCAAGATTGTAGGGTGAGGATCAGTAAAGACATCAATCTTCAGTTCAGGGGGAGGATGAGACCCAAGCAGGAAGACTTGAAAAAGAAACCTCCATCTAGGCCCATCAGAGTGAAACTGCAGAACATCAAATGCAAATAGAAAATCCTAAAAGCAACCAGAGAAAGCAGACACTCTCCAGGGAGAAGCAGTCCGGCAGACACCAAGTGCTGCACAGCAGAGGAAGCAAGACAGCGCCGGCCTGTCCTCCCCGGGTCGAGATAAGACAACCGCTAGCCCAGAACTGAGCCCACCGAAACCACCGATCAAGAGCCAGGGTGGAACAGCGACTTTAAAAACAAACTGGGAAACTGACGTGTGAGTCCTTTTTGAGAGCAAGTCTACAGGACACACTTAAGGCAGAATGAGATGAATCCAGATGGAAATCTGGAAAATTAGGAGCAATGAGTGAAGAAACCAGTGCAGGGAAGGACAGATAGAAAGTGGCCCCACAGCACAGGAATGGTGGTGCCCAGCAATGAGACTGAAGAACACAAGGGAAGGGTAACAGGAGACGCTGGTCAGCGACGGCACATGGCCTGGGAAGGGGCCCTGGGGCCGGGGCTGCCGGGTTTAGCAAATGAACAGAGAGAACACCAGTTACATTTAAATTTCTGATAAGCCAATAATTTTTCAACATAAACATGCCCAAGCAGGCCCTGTGTTTAACCTGCAAGGCTACCTGGGGCCTTGGCTGTACGGGGAATGTGAGGTCACTGGCCACATCAAGGGCACATGCAAACACCTGTACAGACCACCACTAGAGAGAAGCGGTCAGCTGTATATTTTCCTACTCTGTAGAGGAGACAGATGGCATGTGGGGAACCCTCTATCGCACTTAGAGAAGGAAAGAAAAAACAGGGGGAACAAAGTAGGGACAATGGTCTCTATTTATGGCTCAGATTGTTGGACTGGATATAAAAAACAATAGGGACCCCCAGCCTTGTGCTATAAGAGAAACATCTGAGCACAGGAAGAAAGACTAGCATGGAAACTGATACGCCTCAAGGAGGCGGCTGCCTAACATCTGAGCTCTTTGGCACCACAGAGATAAGAGAGAAATCATAACTGGACATAGAGAAGGTCACCATATATAGTGATAACTTCAATTCATCAAAAGGATATAATGACTTAAAATTTGAACATGTTTAGTAAAATTTCTTTGAATGCATGAAGTAAACATTGACAGAACTAAGAGATATGGATAAACGTGCCAGCACAGCAGGGGATCTGACATGTCTTCCGTAGACGGAGCAGACACAAACTGGCAGAGGAAACCACAATGTGGGCAGCAGGTGGCGAGCGTGGTCCTAGTGAGGAACAATTACTCTTGGCCTACACTCAGCCCTTCCAGAGAACAGAAAAAGAGAGGACCCCTAACTGTCCATTTGTCCACCCACCCACCCATTCGTCCATCCATCCACCTTTCTGTCCACACATCTATCCTTTTGTCTGTCCATCCATCCATCCACCCATCCATCTACTCATCTGTCCTTCTGTCTATCCACCCATCCAATCTCCTATCTATCCCTCCATCCATCCATCCCCTCATCTGTCTGTCCGTCCATCCCCCCATCTGACAATCCACCCATCCATGCAAGTTCCCCCTCAAGAACAAATAGGAAAAATCTGGTCTGATAGGCAAATGGGCAGAAGACATGAACTTCACCAGAAGAGGAAGCCCAAGCAGCCAGTGGACCAGGAAGATGCTTGGCCTTGGTGGGGGTGAGGGGATGAGTGCGTCCCCCACCTGGGTGCTTCCTCTCTTAGGGCAGGGGTCCCAGGGGCTGACCACTGAGGCCTGAGGCCCTCGGAGGCTGAACAGTGGCCTCAGAGGACAGCTGGGACAGCCGGCCCGTACCAAATTCAGCGTCAGCACACTGCTGTGCCCGGAAGCCAGTCAGGCGGTGTGTCCAGTTGCGGCCCTGGGAGCCACCCTGGGGTGTGGCGGCTTGTCTTCAGGAACAGTCTAATTGCTGACCACTTTCCTCCTGAGTGCCTGGAGCCCTCGGTTCCCTCCTGCAGCAGAGATGCTCTCCTGTGCCCAGAGACTGCCCTCGCTGGCCCTCACTGCCCGCTCTCCGGCCTCACCTGTCTTTCTGAAGCTGCCAAAGCCCTCCTGGAAGAGGACCCGGGCATCAAGAACAAGTCAGCCACGAAAGGCGAGCGTTATGAACACAGGTGTTTCCTGCTGACTGGGACCCATAGTGAGAGCCTGGCTGTCAGTGCTGGACATAAGGGTACCTCCTGAAAAAGCAGGGACACTGGCCCTGCTCCCCAGCACACAAGCTGCCCTTTTGCTAAGCAGGCAGCTAGCGACTGAGGTGACTCCCAAGGTACCCTGGGAGGGGGACACTTCACCACCGTGACCACGATGGCAGGCCGGAGGGTCTGGGTGCAAAAACCGAGGGCAGGCGAGGGCCCCCCTTTCCTGGTGTGTCAGACCCAGTGAGAACAGGCCCCAACTCAGCGGCCTGCAGGGGGCCCACGCGTGTGGACACACAGGCTCCATAGCACCTGCTGGCTGCTGGAGTGGTGGCGGCAGCAGGCGGTGGTGAGCATGTATGCCTGGGAGAGAGGAGGCGCCGCCGACGAGGAGCAGGCAACCAGCCCTCAGGCTGGGTTAACTAGGCATCCGTTTCTGCCTCGGGCACACACACTCATTTTTAATCACTTGGAGGTTTACCCATCCACACCTTCCACAAAGTGTAATAACCTAACAAAGGAGCCACATTCCTGGGTGAGGTTTTTTTTTTTACCAACAGTAGAGTTTCACCTAATCCTCCACGACCATCTACTGGTAGTGGTGTTGGCTTGAATAAAACGGTGGCATTGAACCCTGAAATCCACGTGGTTGAATAGAAAACCGGCCCCAGCGAAGCCCTGCCCTTGGTGTGACACCTGGCAGGGGGAAGTCTGTCCCACGCCCTCGGGGCTGGAAGCTGGGCCAGCTCACCTGGGTGCCCGCCCACGGGGCCCCTGCATCTGTCTACACTGCGTGTTCAGTATGTTTAAAGAATTTTTCGTTGTCAGTTGTCAGTGATGGTTGCAAACAACCTAAAGCTGAAATTGTGAGGTAGAACGGCGCCTGGAAGGGAGGCGGCCCGCAGACACAGTGCGCTGGCGTGGGCAGCTGCCTGCCCTGACCGGCTCCTCTCCTCTCCGTCTCCCTGTCATTCAGCTGTCTCTCCAGGCAGCTCGCTGCTGTCCACAGCTGGCTGCCCGTGTGCGCACCAGATTGTCCAACACGCCATATATCAACCCTCATCAAAGGCCGCAGGGCAGAGAAGTGGGGCTCGGTCCAACTTTCTTGCATTAAAAAGATTTTAAGAGACTTTGGTGAAACCAGCGCTTCCTGCTTTTTGATGTGTTTTAAGTAAAAGAACACTTTCTTGCTGGAAGAGCAGACACATCCGAGGGAGGAACAGGCCCTACTTGAAAGCTGAGTTCTCTATTGTTATTTGAAAAGTTACCAGCTATAAGAATCAAAAAGCTTTAGGATGGTCTGATTCTATACATCAGTTGGTGTTTAACTCTAGCAAAAAGTGGGAAAAGGTGGTTTTATGTGAACACAGGTGAAATGCGGTCACCTTAGAAAGCAGACTGGCATTTTGTTCAAGAATATTCTGGCATATTTAGTCAGCTCACCAGAAATGAGAGATGCCACCAGGGTCTTCAGTCTGCTTGTGACTTTGGGTAAAATGAATCTCATCCACTATGAGCAAAGGCCGTCAGGAGAAAAAGGAGCCCACCGGATGCCCGCTCACCTCAGGTCTGCTGTCCACACCCCTGCACTGGCCAGCGGCCAGCCTAACAGATGGCGCCATGGGTGGGGGGCTGTGCAGGCAGCTCCTTGCCGGAGCTGGACTCCTGCCCTTGGTGCCGGGGTTCAGACTCCCTTCCTTCAGCCTGAGCTCGGCCACCAAGCGCTGCTGCCTCAGGGACCAGCTCTCGCCCTCCCAGGGTCACGTCCGCACACCGAGTGGGCCTCACGGAGCCTTCCAGGGCCAGGCGTTTGGCAGCCCCGGTGCTCCTTCCAGCACCGCCCCTGCTGGGGTTTTGGGCCTTACTGCCGGGTCTCCAGGCAGAGGACCAAGTGGAGTGGGAGACGGCCCTCCCGTGCAGCCCACCTGCAGCCTGAATGAGGGATGGCCGTGTGGGTGGTCTCCACCGTGGCCTCCCACTTCCCCGCCCACTTCCTCTCCATGGGACATCTGGGTGCCCCAAGGGGCCTGCAGATCCAGGCACCCCCCAGACGCATCAGGCCCCATTTCTGGCCCCTCTCCGACCCCCAGAGCCATGTGGCTTCCAGCCTCACAGCAGAGCCTCCTCGCTGGTGCTCCCTTCAACTACTGGTGGGGACCAGCAGGAGGGCAGTGCAGGGACAATGGTGCCCTCACTGCACACCCCACTGTGTACAGTAGGTGTCTCCACCCCTACTGAAGAGCATCCTCACCCAGCCTGGACCTAGAGGAGCCCCAGGTGAGTCCCAGGGGATGACATGGGCGGAAAGCTTGCAAGCTGCCTCCACGGGGGCTCCTGTGGGCCCTGGGCACCTCCCCACTGTGGGCTGGGCCAGTGACCCCGGGTGCTTGCCCGGCACTAGCCCAGACACCGGGAGCTGGTTTCCAGGGCCCCCACAGTGATGCCGAAGAGCAACAGGAGAAGGCTGGGCTGCAGGGGACCCTGGACCCACCCCACACTCCTTTGATGGAAACAGGAGACACAAACGTGGCCCCACATCCGAAGGCCTGTGGATGGATTTAAAATCCCAAGAAGAGCACAGTTCAGAAATTTAAATGGATGCCACAGGCCAGTCGGTGCAGCCACTGGGACACTCAGCAGGCTGGACAGCATGGTGTTGCCTGGGCACCAGCCCACCACCCTGGCCACGCACAGCCGAGGGGGCTCCCCACCTGGAGGGGGCGGTGCCTGCCCAGTGTCACGCCGGAGGGACCCTCAAGGTGGGGAGACGGGAGTTCCCTCTCCCGTGCAGACCCCCTGAGCCCCTGGCCCTGTATGCCTGTGCAGTCGGAGGGGCAGATGGGGTGGCTGGGCAGGAGGGCCGTGGTGAACCGGGACCCCAGCTGCCCAGACTGCAAGTGACACCACCCCCAGAACTGGCCAGAGAGCCTCCCGAGAACCGAGTGCCTAGGGAGGACATCAGATCAAAACGCTCTCTGGATAACCACACGGCAAGGTGAGCAAATGGGGGCCTTCAAACGACAGGCTCTTGGACCATCTTTTCAAGAGGAAAGGGTTCTTGACAATCTTTTTACTCATATCCTTCTGGCCATAATCACAGTTTTGTCGACGGTACAACAGTCCTGCTAAGTGGGGCGTGGGGGCACATGGGACACGGAGTTCAGAGCTCAGAGAAGCAGACGCATGTGGCTGGGCCCACAGCCTGCGAGGGGCCCCCGGGCTCCTACCTCGTTTCCCAGCAAAGCTGAAACACATGCTTCCGAGGCGTCACAAATGGCCGTGAGGTCGTGGCCGCCCTCCAGGGCCAGAACAATACGGCCGCCAGCCAAGCCCATCAGCTGCTTCGTCAGGTACCCGAAACCTGCAACGGGAAACGGGAGATACAGGCAGAGGCCAAGGGCGGCCCGGGAGCCGACACCTGGCAGGGGATCAAAGCACGCAGACAGGCATCACGTCACAGCTAGAGCCCAGGGGCGGGCACACCGGAATACGTAATAGAAGCCAGGTTTGACTGTAATAAATTCACCCAAGAATTCTGGTTTGGGCTTCTTTTTGATCTGTGTTGGAGTAGGAATTACGGTGTCAGTGCTTTGATTTCATAACGCCACAAATCATCTTGTCTAAGGGGCAGGGGGACCCCAGGAGAGCCCATCAGCTCTCTCATGCTGGGACCACAGAGGTTAGGAGGGAGGGCCACGGGGTAGGACAGTGGGCAGCTGGGACCCCACTGGAAGCTGCCTAGGGGTCTGGCTGGCCAATGCGCCTGGCACACACGCATGGGTGTGCTCACAGGCACGCACATCCACAGCACGTGGGCCTCTCTGGACTCACACTTCGGTGTCTGGAACCCCTGGCCCCTGTCAGTTGTCACAGTCCCTCCACTGCTCCCACACTGCCCTCCCCTTGCAGAAATGTCGACCCAGCCAGGGAGCGGCAATTACCACCCAGGACCAGAACAGTCTGACATTTATCAGGGCTGGTGGAAGCTATGCCAGGCTGACTGGTGGCCACGTCACAGGCTGGCTGTCAGCAGGCCAGAACAACGCCGGGGAGTGTCCCGACAACTTTGGGTGCTGGCCTTAACTTCCTGAAGCCTTGGGCTCACCTCTGTTTGGTGAAAACAGTGATGCTGGCCTCGAGGCTGAGTGAGGACTAACAAAGAGGCTTGGGCTGTGGTGGCAGTGAGGCTGTGCGCTGAGGAGTGCTGGCACGGGCACTCTCTGCGCTTTGCCTGGTCACTGGCAGCCGCTGGGCCCCAAGGCTGGGGCAAGCAGGCTCTGAGGGCCCTGCTCTGGAGTGCAGCCGCCCGAGGGCTGCCTGCTGCTTCCCGGCCTACACTGTCCCACTGCGTGCCCTGTTCTCTGGGGCTGCCAGCACTGCCATGTTCCTGGGAAGACGCAAAGAGGAGTGTTTCCTTGTGACGTCGCTGAAAGGGAGGCTGGAAACAGAGCGACCTGCTGGGAGGAACAGCGGCTGCAGGCTGCGCTCTCGGGCAGTCCACAAAGCCACTTACATTTGGCAGAGAGATGGTAGCCGCCCAGGGGCGTCGGGTGGCCCTCCACAGCATCGAAGCCCGATGACACCAGCACCACGTCCGGGGCAAACTCGTTTGCGATCGGCATGACCACCGTTCTGCGAGGGGCAGGAGAGACGACGCTGGCTGAGCGGAGGACAGCCGTGGCGGAGGGCTGCCTGCCAGGCACAGCACCAAGGCCGGCGGGCTCAGGGCTCTGCAGGAGCTGGACTTGATGGCTCGCGCTCAGTTAGAAGCTCGGCCCAAGAGTGACCACAGTTCCCTGCACAGATGACGTAGGAGTCCAGACCAGCTGGCCCTGGTCAGCTGCTCAGTGGGAGCGGCAGCACAGGCAGGTCCCCAGCAGGCTCTCTGGCGTACTGTGGATGTGATCCGTAACCGCCACACACCAGCTGCTCTAACTTGGAGGAACGGAGCCAGCTGCCCGGGCTGCCCGGGACCCCGCCCTGACCTGTCCCCCTCCTGCAGGCAGGGCCGGCTCTGCTCTTCACGCAGGCCATGAGGACGGGCACAGCCGTCACCCCCTGCACCGGGGACGCAGAGCTGCGTGTGGCTGAGGCGGCAGGAGAGGCCCTCACACCAGCTGGCCGGGAGGGAGCCCACACGCATGTCTTGTCTCCCACCCACCCCACAGGGCCACAGCACCCTCAACGGATGACCGGATGGCCAGGACGCATGCGTGCAAGGGTGACACGCCAGGTTAAATACTAAGAAATACAACACTTAGGATCTTTAAAGGGAAAACATGAACATGTTTAAAAGAACTAGCAGATTAAAAGTATAAACACCCACTGAGAAGCTGGGTGGTTAGGTTACGTTAGGTACACAAGGAAAGCAGCCTACCCGAAAAGAGGAAACACTTGCTAACAAGAACCACGTGGGAGCCTGCAGCCTGGTCCCCTCAGCAGGTCGCGCACACACGCGCTCACGACTGAGCACGCATCACAGGGGGAAGGCAGCACGCTACCTATCACTTAGACCTGCTCAATTCGACTTCAATCATCACTGACTGTTGGAGTCTTTCCCTGCTCCGTGGGTAAGGAGTGCAGGCTCATGTCACAGAGGCCTGGCAGCCACGCTCCTGCAGCAGACTGATGGGTGATGACCTCTGCCCTGTGGGCCTCTGCTGGACCTATCACCCACCCCCACGGTGGGGAAGGCCAGCTTTCAGGTTCCATCTCAGGCTAGAAGGCCCTCTGCCTACTTCTGAGCTGCCCACCAACTTCCTGCTGTGCCAGCGGGCTGCTCTGTGTTCTTGTGGCTGGCATCCACCTGCTTGGGCCCTATCCACTCGCCTTGGCCTTGAGGGCTCATACAGCTCCCCAGAGGCCCACGCAGGGAGGAGGCCACGTGCGCCTGGCCGGGTGACGGTCCCTTCGTATGCTGCCAAGCTCTGGGGACACTTCAGCCAAAGGGCGGCAGGGCCGGCCGTGGAAGCCCCACGGCCTCTCATTCGGCTTTTACTACAAGATGAACATGCCTCTTCAGTCAGCAAAGCCACCTCCATGAAGTACCAGCTTTGGCCAAAAGAAACAAATATGCTCAGTCTTGCCTGTCACACCACCCAGCGCTGCTCTGGATGGCAATGCTGTGCAGGACCCGACTCAGCGCTGGGCACGGCTGAGGACCCGCCAGGGATGCAGGGGCAGCTGGGATGCCATCCCAGTCCGGAACATACGCCCAGCCCCGAGGACCCACCGAGCGAGCACTTCCATGGGAGCGACGTCTGCAGGGAGGGCCTCCGAGGCACCCGATGCACCTGTCTGGGCTCAGAAAGGGCCATGGACATGGTGTCTGCTCCACCCCAGGCACCTCCCCAGCCGGGAGACACTCTGGAGCCTCAGAGGGGGTTGGCGGAGACTGGGGCTGGCTTCCGACCCACTCTCTGCTTCGTGGGCCATTGGGGGCTGTGACCAGCTCAGCTGCCCAGGACACTGCCGCCACACAGGCTGCTCACAGGGGTCTCCGAGGACCCAGGGTCTGCCGTGGGGACATTCTCTGGGGCCCGAGGAATAGGCCCATGACTGCAGGCTGGAGGTCGGCACATCTTCCTGCCACGGGCGTCTCTGTTGCCAGGAAAACCTGCTCTTGTCAAGCAAAAGTGGCCGCACACAACAGGTGGCCACGTGAGCATGGCCGTGTTCCAATGAAACTTTACTCAGAAAACACATGCTGGGTTTGGCTTGCAGTTTACCACCCTGTCCACACTTTTGTCATGACAGCTTTGCTAGTGTTCTTCACCATGTGATACTAGCCCGATTTTAGTGTTTCCTGTGTCCAGTGGACACTGCAACAAAAGTGCATGCCTCCGCACACACAGACGTAGAACAGTGGCCCTTAATGAGAGCACCAGCTCAGAGCAGGCACGGGGCTGTGCTGACAGTCCTGCTGCAGCGCTGGAAGCTGAGAAGTGCGTGTAGGCAGGCAGAGGATACATGGACCCAGGACAGGCCGTCTGGTCTGCCCTGTCCAAGGTGCAGGGCACGGTCCCCTCTGAGGACCTGGGGTTTCTGACGGGAAGCAGGGCCCAGGAGGCTGCTCTCTACCCTCAGTGCTTTCACTGCATCATTCCAGGGACACTGGTTTTTAATTATTCTCACAAAGTTCTTGTCACATAAACTTTGTCTTCGGTCAGAGAAACCATTTTAGCCGCATGTTTGGTGTGGATTTTAAAGCCAGACGGTATTCAGGGAGAACCAGATACTTTCTGCAGACACTAGCTTGCTCACTGGGCTTCGGACCGAGACTGTCTTGAAGAAAGTGCATGCCTGGGCTTTGCTTCTTGCTTTGAAGTATTGTTGAGCTGCTTTATTTCTAACTGCCCACCCCCCAAAAAAAACAGCCCTGTTAAAAGGATCATTAAAAGAAGGTAATACGAAGAGAGTCCCCTGGCGCCTCTGCTTGGTGTGCGGCGCCACCCCCAAGCCACCACAGCGGGATGCGGATGGTGGGTGATCCTGTGCCTGTGTGTGGCGCACGGGCATGCGAGTGGGTGCATGGACAGTCTGTGCCCATGCGCTCACTCTCATCTCCAGGCTTGGAACCTCCAGGTTGTAACCCAAACACTTGCTCAAGCTCAGAAAGCCTGAACTGGCACTAAGGGCTGGGAGGTGTGGGGCCCCGGGGCCTGCTTTCAGTGTCCCCCTGCCCCCCGGGAAATGGCACTTCCCCTCGACAGATTGGGTTTCTTTGTAAGAGACTGCAGTACCCCAAGCCTGTGAACCTGCCTCCTAGAATCCCCAGATGACGATCCCAGCCAGGAGCCCCACACGGGGGGGAGGCAGGGTGACCTCTGCTGCCCGACAGATGCTGCAGAGAAAACAGGGAAAGTGGCCTCACATGTTATTTCTAGAATGAAATTTGAATGAACAGCTTAGTCTCTGAAAATGGAAAGACCAGAATCTGTGCTGTAGGTCTGTTCTTAAAGGGAGTTTCTGTGGAGTCACTCTGAACTTCTATAGGGCAGCCTGGGGGCAGAGAGGGTGGGCTGGGTGCTTCCTGAGGCAGCAGCCCGTGAGCTAACCGCCTCAGCGAGGGTGGGCACGTCCCTGAGAGAAGAGGCGGCAAGTGCCCTCCCCACACGCCCCTAGCTGTGGGGAGAAGGGCACCATCAGGGGCCACCACCGGGCCCGGAGCCCCGGGCCCCTGGCTCTGCACGGGGTTCAGATGGGACTGTGGAGCCTGGGAGCAGGCACCACTTCAAGGCAGCTGGGTGGAGCCCTCAGTGCCACCAAGTCTCCCCATGCCCCACTGGGGCTGGCTCCTGGCACATCCTCACCAGCACAGTGCTGCGCCCTCCCACGGGCAGACCTGGTTTCTTATGAGCAGCCACCTCACGTCAAATCACAGGGGGTCAAATGTCATGTCCAGAAGCCACGATGGGGTCCAAATGCAGTAACTGATTCAACAGCTGGGTCCAACTTTCAGAAAGAAATGATCTTTCGGTTTGTCCCGCCACGTACACCAGGCAAACTCGCGGTCACCACCACCCTCGGGGCTCTCGGCTGTGTGTTCCCGCCCGCGCTCGGCCCCCGCGCTCCTGGCTGTGTCCCATCGCCATCCCCGGCCTGCACACACGTTCTTGACAGAGGCTCTTGGACCATGTGGGTGGTCCAGGCCCGGGTGCTCCTGGCTGCCAGCACCCCCGCCATACTGCCCTCTCCCATCCTCCATTTAGCACCCCCTTCCCTTTGCAGCCCCTGGGAACAGACGCCAGAGGCAGCCTGCCCGCGGGGGATGCCCTTCACCCCACAGCCTCCTGAGGGGTGAGTCCCCGTGGGGCTGGGCGTGAGGTCCGCCTCGTCCTGGGGGGCTGGCCCAGCAGGCCCCGTGCTCAGCCCTGGGCCTTGCCCACCACTCCCTTCCTCTTGCTGTGCCTCTGGCCTCATCTCTGCCTCAGTTTCCCCAGTCCTTTCCCGGTGCCCGCCTTGCTTTCCCCACTGAGCACCCACGTCTGGGCCCACGCCTCCTGCCAGCTCCTGTCCCTCCCCTGCTTTTTGCACCACGGTCCTCCGGGCATGCGTGCTGTCCTTGTTCTCACACTCGGTTCCCTCCCGAGCCCAGCACGTTCGGCCCCCACCTCTACACACTCCTTCCTGGGTGCCAGTGGCCCCCCAACCACCAGCTCAGAGGGAGGCTTTCCAGCCCTTCCCTGGAGATCTGCTGAACCATGAGTGGCCACAGCCGAACGGTTCCCTCCACGTTCTTCACCTGGAACCCCCTACCCTCCTCGCACACAGTGGCTCAAGACCTCACTGGATTCCCCTCGGACCCTTAATCCTCTCTCACTTATAAATATTTCCTATTTCCTGAGATGGCTGCTCCCCAGTTCCCCCTGCAGACTTGCCTGGGCTTGTCCACTGGATCCAGAGTGGTATACCCTGTCCCAAGTCTGTCACCAAGCTGCCACCAGAAAGCCACTGAACGGACAGCCCAGCCGCTTCGCTAACCTGGTAGGAGCCCCGGGGCACACACCCCAGTGACAGGATCAGTCAGGCTCCCTGGGCGGGCCCCACACAGGCAGGTCTGCAGCCTCTCCTGCAGGAATGTCCTCCTGCCTGACGCTGTCCTGGCTCATTCCTCCAGGATTCAGGAAGTTTCCTCCCCAGCAGGGCCAGGTGCCCGAGCACATGCCATCACCATCCCGTGTCAGTGCACTGACTGCCTGCCTGGGCCCTGCCGCCCCAGTTCTCTCCCACCTCACGGGCAGGCACCACGCACCCACCTCTCCTGTCCCCAAGCGCGGGTCTCGGGCAGGGATAATGAAGGCTGGCTACCTGTGAGATGGCTACACTCTGAGCCTCTGGCTTATAATTTTGCTTCTAATATCATTGTACAATATCCTCAGATAAAACTTCTATACGGAAAAAGATGTGGATGCCCTTATGTGAGCTGCCGTTAGTGAACAAGGCCTCACGGCTTGGATCAAGTATCTGTGAGGTGACGAGTGCCGGTCCTTATGCACAGGACAGGCTCCATGCATGTGGCCATGCCACCTCACTGGACACTCGCACTCGGTTAAAACAGAAAGCATTCTGCATATTTTGCTGTAAGAATGAAAAATAAAAAATGTTAAAACACCTTTTTTTTTTTTGAAGTGACAGACGTTACAGAGCCACGCTCGGAAGGGTGGGAGATGCACAGAAATCTCCCAGGTGCTTGATCGAAAAGGCACATCTCTGTTCACTAAGACATTACAGCTCCCCAAAGAACGCTCAGTTTCCCTGGCACCTGATAAACTGTGGCATCCTTCAGTCAAATCAGGATGTAAAAGCCCAGTTCCCGTCCTCACTGGGGCGGGGACGTGCTCAATCGCCAGCTGGCAGCTAAGTGAGGGCTTAAGATCAGAGCATCGCTGCCCCGCCAGAGCCCTCAGCCTCTGCTCGGCCAGCTTCAAAGCGTCCCTGGATTAAGGCTCCCTCCTCTCCTGCACGTCTCCCAGCTCAGGGAGAAAGTGCGGCCACTGCTGGATTTCATTAGGGGCAATTTTCTTATCTCTTCTTCATCTTGGGCTTGATCTCCTGAAATGCAACGTGGCAGGGAACAGTCTGAGTGACAAGGTGCTGGCTTCAAGGCACGCTTGTCCCATGGGCCCCCAAAGGGGGAGCAGCACAGAAGAAAGGGGGAGACGGCTCCTGGCCCTTCCTCTCCACCGGATCGATGCCCAGGGAACCATAAATTATAAACTTCAAAGTGCTATTTTACATTCAAATCAATAAAAAAAAAACACCCTGAAACAATTTTCTGTCTTAAAGAAGCTTTTTAAGCTTTAAAAAGTTCATTTGATAAGGTATCATCATGTGCACACCTGGCAGAAGATTAAAACAGAATGTCGACAACACCCCAGAGTAAAGGGTTCATCTTGAGGCTGGCTGGGGCGGGGGCCACGTAGGACAGCCCAGGCCCACCCTGCCCCGGTGCCCTCGGGCAGGCTGGGGCGGCCAGCGGGGCCTCCAGGCGGGACCTGGCGGGAAGCTAAGCAGTGGCGTGGAGGTGGACATCACTGCGCGGCTGCCACCCCAGACCCGCGCTGGGCGAGTTCTGTCGCCCCCACCTGCACCAGAGCTTGGCCCCCAGTGTGCATGGGGGCAGTATTTTCACCTCTCGAGGCCGGCCTCTGGACTGCCATTTCCCAAGAAGCCCCCTGTGAGGGAGGTTCTCAGGTGGCAGGCGACGGAGGGGTAGCCGGTGTGCCCCCCGGAGGGGCAGGGGCAGCCCCTGGGGGGCTGTGCTGCGCAGGCTCAGCTTCCAGAGTTTAGCTGCGGACATTAGCAAATTCCCCGATGTCGTATCTGTCTGGGGGAGCCCTCTCTTAAATTAGGCAGGGCGATTGTCAAAATCACATTACATTTGACCAGGAGTAAGGAGAAACACAAGAATTAAACTAACAAGATGGGCAAAAGAAGTGATTTCGGTGAAATTCAGGGCAGGCCTTCTGGACGGGGACTGACCCCACCTGCGCTGTCTTGCCTCCTGCCTGGACTGAGTCAACTCCGAGCTGGTCATTTCTACGAACCGCTGAGTGGCTGGGGATGGGCTTACACCTCGGGGCCGGGTCTTCACCCACCTGGGGCCTGGTATGGTTTCAAGAGGAGCCTGAAGATGCCGCAAGGGGCCCCACAGAGCAGGATGCAGAGTCTAGAGCAAACCTTTTACAGATGTGTCCTTTTAGGGACTCTCACCGGCTAGAGCCGCAGGTGCACACACACGTCCAACAGAGGTGTCACGTATACATGTATGCCTGCACATATGTGCTCTGTATTTAGATGGAACGAGAATGAGAATGGAGTTAGGAAGAGGTAGGAAAAAAAAGTCACTGGGCACCTCATGGGCTCTGATTCCTAGTACAGTTGATGGCGCCTTCTAGCAGGGACCGGAGGTGTGCCAGTCTTCACCCCTGAACAAAACTGCTCAGAGACCCCAGGACTCACACCCGGAGGGGATGCTGCCCCCGAGCCGCTCCTTCTTGGGCAGGAGGAAGCTTCTGGGTAGAGAGAGGAGAAACCCATGCAGCTGTGCATCCATTTCTGGTTGCAGGAATTCCTCTAGTCTGGCCCAGATCAAAGTAGAAATCGCCAGTTGATGACGCAGGCAGACCCTGGGTTCACCCCACAGCCATGTTCCAGTGACAAAGGGCTGCAAAGGCAGCGGGCGGCGGGGGTGCCTCCGGAGCGTCTGCATCAGTAGAGGAGGAACATTCGTTTCTGTTTTCCATCATCTCACAGAGGTTTGTTGGTAGAAAAATTAGGAGATTGTGGAATCTTTTAGATTCGATCATCCACTTTTCATTAACGAAACTTTTGATGCCTTGTGCTACCTCCTGGCCTCTGTCTCCATCACTTGCTTATAATCAAGACCCAGAATGGATTCCTGTTTTTGACTTAATGCACAAGACAGGAACAGGCCAGAGGTGAGAAGACAGAGCCCAAGACGCCACCTGCAGCTTGAACAAGCCCAGAGAGCCTGCAGCCCCACCTGCAGAACGCAGCTCAGAAAAGAGCATCTGGACGGAGCCCCGAAGGACACCGGAGGCCCTGGCCAGCTGAGCCGGTGTGTCCACAGGGTGATGAGGGTCGAAGAGACAGAGAAAACCCAACAGGAGCCAGGAGCTCTGGAGTGGGGGCCCCCGCTTTTGATATGCGCCCCGTAGGACAGGAGGCTGCAGTACTCACCTGAAAGCTGCCAAGTACTCCGCATCCCCCATGGGGGGGTCCAGGCCACCGGTGAAAGCCACGTTCACGTTGAAGCCCACGCCGGGCCCCGTGCCCACCTGCGAGGAGGAAGTGCGTCATGGCCCTGGGCCGTACCTCCCCCACCAGACACCGGACCGGGGGCTTAGGGCCCGCGTGACGTGCTCCTCGATGTCGGGGAGCAGCCTGTCACGAGACGCAACAACCCGACGCACTGACCCCAGAACAGTGTTTCCATGGGATGCCGGCTCTCGGGGGCACCTGCACATGGGGGGCTGCAGACAGCGGCCAGCAGCGTCTGAGGACCGCGGCTCTACACACATGCCCACAGAGGGCGGCTGGACAGCGCAAGCGAGGCTGTCCTCGCCAACCCCTGCCAAGAAGACAGACCCAGAGGCCGCTGAGCCTTTTCCGCAGTGGGCTCCCCACTGTAGGGATTTATTCAGAGTGGTGGGGGCTTAGCTGGGGTCAGGGGTCATGAAGGCACCTCAGGGCCCGCTGCTCCTGCGGCCCCAGGGCACTCGGCAGGTGAGAGGAGGCACGAGTGCACCGCTGGAGGGACGGACAAGAGGGGCAGTCTGGAGCGCCCTTCACCGCACAGTGGCCTGTCCTGGAAGGGTGCCTGTGCTGACAGCCACGAGTCCTCAGGCCGCCTGTGTGACAGCCAGGTGACCCTGTCCTCTGCTGGTACTTCACACAAACGCAGGCCACGTGAGCACAGGCAATGGAACCAGCTGGCGTCCATTGGAAGCCACGGTCCAGGCATGCAGGACGTGAAGCCCTTGTGCCCATATGCCTGTCCTCTCACCTCTAGGGGTCCCTGCCTCGACCCCCCTCAGAGGCCCCGCACACTGACGGAGGCCCCTGCTTACCTCGTCTGGCGCCCCGCTGCCCGGGAAGAAGTTCCCGTCATCGTAGCGGTGCAGGGAGATGTACAGCACACTCGGGTCACCATAGAAAGCCTGCTGGGTCCCGTTCCCGTGGTGCACGTCCTGAGAGGGCAGGCAGAGCCACTCAGCGCCAAGGTGCCCGCCATGTGCAGGACGCACCGGCTCACCGCTAGCCAGGGTAGCTGACTGCAGGGAGTGCGCAGCCCCGAAGTGGGTGGTAAGCACCTTGACCATGGTTTGGGGCCATGGGGGAGAAGGCAGAAGCCGAGGGGCCCTGTCTGACCCTGATCACTGCCCTGGTACTCGGTGCCTCGGCACGTCACAAGGCCCAGCAAGGAGGAGGGGGCTGGCATTTCAGGCCAACCTGAAGACCGTGATTTCCCAAAGCCATCTGATCAACTCCCGGCCCTTGCTCTGTCTGTGAAAAGTGCACCATTTTCTCAGCCCCTGCTGAGAGGTTGCTGACCATGGCTATTCATTTTCAATTGTGTGTGAGGTGCCAACTCTGTACTGGACATTCTGTGCCAGACATTGGGATCTGGCAGACTATCCCATAGGCCAGTGTGACAGGCCCACACCAGCGCAGGGCTCCCAGGCCCCAAACTAAAATGCAAAATGCTTCTCCTAATTGCATGCTCACTTGTTAAAAGCACAAATGTGGGCGGTAGGGCTTCCACTGGGCCTGAGGAGATCGCCCCCAGGTCAGGGACGGAGAGGCTGCCAGGACAGGCAGGCGTGCTTCACGCAGGGTGCGTGGTGAGCTGCATGCATGGTGGAGAACTGCACGTAATATCTTTGTCTCATTTATAAAGGTTATTGGTGCTTGTTACAGAGAGCATGGGGGGAGAGCTGTAAATAAGGGGTCGTAAGGAACAAACAGGAAAGGCTGGGCTGCTGTGAAGACACGCAGGGGCTTCCCTGTGGGCGGTGGCAGCCGATGGGCCTTCTCCAAGGATGCGGGGGACACCCAGGTGCTCTCCAGCTGCTGCTTTATGAGCCAGGTGCACCCACTGCACCACTCACACTGCTTCGCCAGCATTTCCCACGGCCCCCGAGGACGGGCTGGAGGGTCTGCCCCCCGCCCCCCCCCGGCCACGGCACAGGCTATGCTGGGGCACCCCGGCCTCCACTAGTCCTGGCCACCTGCGGGCTTGCTGGGCATCCTTGGTTCTGTTTTGGTGTCTCTTTTCCCAAAGTGGGAAGGACTTTGCAGTACAAATGTAGAAACACCTCACATACCCGCCTTTTTATTTTTCCTTACAAAATAGGAAAGGAATCATAAATACCAAAGACAACATTCCCTCCCTCTGCCTGTGTATATATGGCTTGAAAAGGATGATAAACGGACACCTTGAATCTCCACCCACAGTGTAAGGACCTCCTTCCTATTGCTGATACAGGCGGTTTACACCAGACTTCACCCTCTGGGGTGGTGGGAAGTGGCACCTCCCGGAGGAGCATGGGAAGGAGGCAGAGCCAGCATGCACGGGTCATCCATGTAGAAGGGTGTCTTCATGGGGAGTGACTGAGAGGCTCAGGGTTCAGCTGGGGAGAGCACGGCCCAAGCCCCTGATTGGATGCCGGAGGCCAAGGTCAGCACATTCCCTGCCTCCCAACAAAGTTTTGCCAAGGGTTCCCTTCGGCAGCGGCCTTCACCCGTGGACCCATGTTCAGGCATCTCAAGAAGCCGGTCACCGGCGGGACTGGCTGACTGCAGTATAAAGGAGGCCTGAAACCGGCTTGGCTTTTATTTCGTATTGTGACATAGTGTCCAGAAAGTTGGGTCCCTAAATCCAAATGCCACTGAAGGGAGAAATGCCCACCTCCCGTCTGTACACATGGGACCGTCTGCCTGGGGAAGCGAAGACAGACTTGTGGTCTCCCGGGCTCTCCCTGGGAGCAGCCCACTCACCCAGTCCACTATGAGGGTCTTGCTCACATTCAGCCTCTGCTGGAGAAGCTTGGCTGCGACGGCTATGGAATTGAAGTAGCAGAAACCCCTGCGGGTGAGAAACAGGAGAACTGGAGCAAAAACACAGGTTTGGATCAGTTTTCACACAGCTCACAGCAGAGCTGGCGGGAGCCCCACGAGGTCCTAAGGGGCCTGGTGAATGCACAGTCGCTGATCAAGCCATCCGCACCCCCCCCTTCGGCAGGCTGCACCCGACGGGCAGGCTGCCAGTGCCCCCACGCCAGGGTGCCGGCACTTTCTCTGGCTTCCCACAAGGCTCAGCGACCCCATCAGGAGACGCTCTGGTCCCAGAACCCGGAGCTTATCCAGCTGCGTGCTGCTGCTCGTTTGTTTTCTAAGGCGCACAGCATGACACAAGCAGTGGCTCAGCACTTAACTGGTTACTGAGAGGTTTGTTGAGACAAACCAAGCTAAGGAAATGGTTCACGTACAAACAAGACCTAAACCTAGGCTTCCCTCTGCCTGAATCGCCACAAACACCGAGAACTGTGCATGGTTTGGTGTCTAGAATGCAGGCCAGCAGGCTGGAAGGCCTCCCACGCCCCGCACTACTTCTCCGAGCCCGAGCCCCAGCCCCGCCCCGCCGGCCTCAGGACCGGACAGCCCTGTGCAGCCCCGTACCGGGCCAGCTTCCACTGAGAACATTCTTTCATGCCGCAACGTGGTCTGTTTGGGTTTATGATGCAGAACAGCCAATGACTTGGACTCAAACAAGAAAAGTACCTCCAGAGAAATGAAACACACACACTTTCTCCCAAGGAGCATGGCCGTTCTGGCCATAGGGCCACCAAACGGTCCCTGAGGCAAGGCTGTGAAGACTCTAGCCAAGTCTGCTCTTGGCTGGTTGCAACCGTCTTCTGCACCTAGATGGCCCCTTGCTGAAACACCCATCTGGTCCCCTGGCTTCCAGATTTGAGATGACAGCAGCTCCTGTGGGCCTACGAGCTGAAGCCAGGCCCCCGCAGGTGGCACGGGGCGGCCTGCAGCTCCAGTGGCTCCTGGTGGCCGCTCCTCCTCACCGCCCTGTGCTCTGGCTTCTCCCACAGGCATTGCCCCTGCTTCGCCATCCAACAAAGTGCTGCGCATTGTTCGGGCACACCCCAGGTGTCGCCTCCTCCCGCCCCCACTGTAACACCACGTGCCTCATCTGCCACCCGTTCACTGGGTGGTACCCGTGTCCCATGGGATGGCACGTCCAATTTGCCCCAGGCAGCCCAGGCACTCTGTGCACGATTGCTGAGGCCCAGAGGCCAGTCCATGTGCCCCTGCCTGCGTGGGACCCTGCCCACCACTGTTCTCCACAAGCACGACGGATCCTGGCCAATCTGCTCAGATGCCTGCATAGTCAGGCGCATGCTGAGCCCAAAACAGAGTCCAGGCGGCTGGCCCGTGTGGCCACGACTGGGGGACCTCAGCCTCGTCAGCACCAGGAGGGCCTGGCTGTGGTGCTCAGACAACACAATGCCCCACGCAGTTTACACCTCCTCTCCCGGTGTTTTACAATGACCTGAGCAGCCAGAGTGCTCCGGACTTGCTCCCGCAGACCCCAGACCCCTTCTCCTCCCTCCACTCCACTGGTCCAGTGCAGCTCTTCATCACGACCCCTCGGTGAGGCTGACCTGTGTGGCTCCCGAGGGCACGTCTAGGTACCTGGTACCAGGCCGGGGACAGGGGCACCACAGACCCATGCACACTGCAGGGGCTGGTCACCAGCAAACTGAAGGGACCCCTTTGACTCTGGGGGGTTGTGGGGGGGCAGATCATGCACGTCCCACCCACGCGGTGCCGCCTCTCTACTTACATGGGCGTGCTCTCCTCTGCATGATGTCCAGGGGGGCGGACCACAGCAAAGCCGTTCTGCACAGGACACCGGACAGGTGGGGAGAGACAGGGATAAGAGGTGGGTTTCACATCAGTGAGGTAACGACCGCGGATTCAGGCCATGTGCAAGGACACCCCAGACAGGCACGGGGTGAGGGGCTGGCTACAGGAATTCAGACCCTGGAGTCCCTTCTTCCAGGGGGTCTACTGGGGGATCACAAGCTAAAGGGAGGACGCATTACTGGCATTCATCTCCGGCGGCCTGTGGGGAGGCTTGCAGCTGCGTGGCTTGGGACTCTGGGTAGGAGTGGAAGGGGTGGCTTTATTCTTTGATCGTGGCCAGTAGCCCAGGAAGCAACGTGAAGGGGATCCTAGTTGTGGATGACCTGGGAGGGGCCTGGGCTGCTGGGCACACGACTGGAGCCCTGGTTTGGCCTTAACATGCCTGTCTGTCCTTATTGCAATTCAGTTCCCAAGGGAGTGAGCAGCACAGAAGAAATACCCATGAACAGAAGAAACAGCTCAGAGGCTAGGGAGCTGCATGCCCTTGCGCAGGACCCGAGTCATTGCTGTAGAGTACCGACTGCCAACTGTTCTACATATGCTGCAAAAAGAAGTGGGCAAAGGGGCATCCCTTGGTCGGCAGCAACAGGAGGCTGTGTGCGGTCGATGTCTGTCACGCAGCCTGAGGGGACTGATCACCAAGGGTTGGGCAGTAGGAAGGGGTGCATGGACTGCCGCAGAGGCGGGCTCAGGGTGGGCCAGGGCGAGGGGCACTCATGTGGGGCCCACCCGCAGCACACCCAGGACTGCAGCACCTGCTCCTGCCCATGGATGCCTGCGGACCTGGGCACCCTGGGCTCTTTCAGGGGCCTGTTTGCAATAAAAACTAGAGGACTTGAGGATCTGCCTTTCCCTCTGAGCTGGCACCTGCCCTGTGGCGAGCTAGGCCCTGCAGGAGCCACAGTGTGGTTTTCGGCCCAGGTGCACAGGGGTTGGCAGTTCCACTTAAGAATGTCCCTTATGAAGGGATAAAATTTACTAGCTTCATTAATTCTCTACCCTTGAACACACACCTTAACATCCCATGTAGAGAAGAGGAAGGGCCGAGTAAATAACCAACCGAGCCTGTCACCTCAAGGAAGACACGGGACAGAATCATCGACAGCGGTCAGACGCCCTGATAAGACAGCTGGCGACACCAATGGCTGCAAACATCAGTGATTCTGGGGACGTTGTATAATCAAATGTGTCAAGATTTGAAAGACCTACATAATCCAATCAGCCTATCTCCCAATGTCCAGTGGGCTGTGTTCCCAAAAAGATCCATTCGACCCATGAGAAGGCCGGTGGATTTTAAGGGGGAGCTCACAGGTGGATTCACTTTCCCCTGCAGCTGATCTTCCAGGAACCAACACCTGTTGAACTCTGGGGAGGAAGGAGACGGGGAGACGGGGATATGTCGGAAGCATCCTGGTGGGGCCATGCACCCCGCTCTGCCCGGCACAAGAACATTACGAGAGCTGCTCAAACCCTCCCCCCCCACTCTACCTGCGCAAGGCCAGATTTTTTTCATGTCCTCCAGTCACAACACGGCATCCCCACAGGCGGATACAGAAGCAGGTATGGGAAATCCGGCTGATCTACCGAGCCAGACGTCACTGCTCTTTTCAAGTTAATGATGGTCTTAAAAATTTATGTTTTAATCTCTACTATGATCAACGCCAATGACGTAACTCACATAACAAAAGCTGTCTGGGCCCTTCACCAATTTATGAGTGTGAAGTGTTTCCAAGACAAAGATGTTGTGAACTGCTGCAGCATCGTGGACTTTGCGGAAAATGTGGAGGATGCTCCCTGGGCCGCGTGGTGGCCGACAGATCTAACGGCCCACCCTTCCCTGGGTGCAGCCGTCCTCCCCATCACAGCCACCTTGTCCAGAGGGTGAATCGTGGTGGGCCATCCCCTCCCTGCCCCTGGCTGGACCTCTCCCGGCAGGTCTCCTTCCAGGAGCCCACTGCCGCCAGCTCCTCACTGACCTTCAGCTCCCCCGTGGCCACCTTGAAGACCAGCTCCACCACACAGCCCACGGCCAGGCGGGCCGCCCCTGACGAGTGCACTTCGTTCCAAATGGTGTCACTGTCCACCTGCGGAAACACCACTCCCTGGGTGAGGCCATGCCCTCAGGCAGTCACCCCCCACCCCCAGCACGAAGGCCGGCAGCCCCCGGGGCCAGAGCCTGGCTAGCTCTAGAGCATGCCCAGCTCAGTTGGCCGTTTTTGAAGCCATGCCAAAAAGTACTAAACAGACAAATAACACACGTGTTTTTACCCTTTTCTGAGGTGCCCTTTCCTTCCTCAGTTTCCCCAATATACCTGAATGTTAAGAGGTTACCTAGTCCTCTTTGTTTTTTTGGCAACTGCAGCTATAACACCAGTGAGTGAAACGGAAGAAGTGTAATCAGAGGTCTCTTCAAATTATGACTGTATTTTGTGCTGAATTAAATTAGAAGCGCCTGATGTTTGACAGGAGTACCTACACAGGAATGGAACACGAGGGGGGGAGGAAGGAGACGGGGATATGTCGGAAGCATCCTGGTGGGGCCATGCACCCCGCTCTGCCCAGTGACAGCGAACAGGAAAATGGGTGCAGCATAAACAAATAGGCACATTAGATTGCTTTTTTTTAAAGCTCTGGCTAACTTAAGTGAGAAAGAAGACAAGAGACGTCATAGCCAGTTCTGCAGAAAACATCCCCTTGTGGGAAGCTGGGGGACTGGGGAGCAGCAGCCGAGATAAAGCGCTAGGCCCCCAGGGTCCGGATCAGGGTTGGGCCCCGATCTGCAGGCGTGGGGCAGCTGGAGCCTCGGCTGCACACGGGGCCACAGCTGCCCTTCCTGGGGATGGTCCGGCCGGCCCAGTGAGGGTTCTGAGACGCTGCATGGCGCCAAGCTGCTTCCCTGTGACAGCGTCTGCCAAGCCCATCTGAGAACTGCCGTCTCACTTCCCCAAATCCACCTCCTCTGAGCACCACACTACACTTTGGGCCCTCGGAGATGGGAGGTCTGGGTATGTGCAGGTGTACATGGCCAGGATCGCCATGTGGGGAGGGTGGATTTCTTTCAATGAAGTGAAGCTTCTTTTTCAAAGCAAGGTGACTCAGAGTCCACTTCTGAGGGGTTCAGGCCGTTTCCTGACGAGTGTCACTCCGTGCGGGCTCTGCTTTGCAAGGGCCAGGCCTGTGTCCTCTAAATAGCTTCCGAATGTTAGAAGGACACCGCGCACTTTGCCAACTCTCCAGTGTTGTTGTTCAACTTCGAAGGACTGGCTTCTGCTCTAAATAACACTGCACTGTTCACTGAAATAGCCACTCAAATAGAACGACTCTGGACCAGTACTGCAGCCAGAGCAATGACCCATTAAAATTGAAGGCGACCAGCCAGCTGGGGGATCTCATGAGCCTCTGTGCCCTTGGAAAGGACAGCGGTGCCTGCGGCTGGCCGGCCCAGGGGCTGCCCTCCTGGGGACTGGAGGTGGTGTGGGCAACATATTCAGATGACTTGTCCTCAAATTACAATGATTTGGGTTATAGGCCTGAGTGACCAGAACCAGAGGGAGAATGGACGGCCCTTCCATGCACTTCGGGCCATGCTCTGCTCCTGAATGACCCTGGGACAAGAGGTCCTGTGACCTCTCGCCCAGAGCAAGGGACAGACCCAGGCTGCCTGTCCCCAGGGGACCCAACAAGCGTTCACACCGCTTCAGGGCCTATGTCCTCCAGCTGCTGGCTGGCCAACAGCTCCCCACATGACCATCCTGGAGGTTAGAGCCCCGAGTTTTACAAGCATGAGGCTCCAGTGAGGGAGGGTGTCTGAGGCACACTGCCCAGGACGCCTGCTGGGGGCCAGGTGGTGTCCAGCTGCTGGGGCGGGAGTAGGCGTCAAAGGGAAGGGCAGACGGCCCCCTCCACGCCTGTCCAGTGGGGACAGAAAAGGGCAGAGGAGCACGGGAGAAGACTGCTTGTGGAGGTTAGTGGGTACCCTGGGCGGCAGCTCCCAGGCTGGGAGGGAAATCTGCTCCCAAGTCCTCACTGCAGGGGATAAACAGGAGATGAGCAAAGCCCAGGTTTCTCATTTTTGGTTTCAAAAAAGGTAAGACAGTTTAAAACCTCTATTTAACATAGTTAAGGAAGAATTGTTTGAAACTTTAAAAGCACCATTAAACAACCTGAATGTTTATTCCAAGTAACTTTCCGGAAAACCAGAGCGGCCTCTCCTCACCTGCCCAACATTCCCACCCACACTCCAGCTCTGGGTCTACTCTGCTTTCCCGACACCTCGGGGCAGCACCTGGTTCTGCAAGGAGCTGCTGAGGCCCAGCGGGGCTGCGGCTGCACCAGCAAGTCCATACGAGCTGGGCCGTGGGCCACGCACCGTGGCTGACTCTCTGCCCACTTTTCTAGCAGTAACTGGGAAACAATAGAAAGGGAACAATCCCCACAGATATCCCATGGTTCACACTTTCCAAAAATAATCCAGACTTCTCTGCCTACTTTGACTTGGTGAGATTTTCCTTGGTTTCTGGAGTTTTGTGCACGATGCAAAGGTGAATGCTCGTCTGACTGCTGGTGCTTGGACCCGGGCTTCACACTGGGGAGGGCCACCTGGCTGAAGGCCCCAGGCCCAGCTCCCAGTTAGCTTTCATTTGCAAATTGTAAGTCTTGCCTTGCACAGAGCACTGGCTGCAGGGCAGTGCAAATCCAAACCTTTTCAAGTCTGGCCAAAAATTTGCCCTGAATTAAGAGATTGCAGCCTATTTACAATACAAAATAAAATAATTCTAGAAGGGCTTGGTGGCGGTATGAATAAACGCTGTTTATTCTCTTTCTGATGGGATAATTTTCAAAGCAGCGATTTTTGTAAAGACTCAGGAAGAAAACAATTTGTTTCATTTCCCTAACAGAATCCAGACCCCAAGCTTCACCCTGAGACCTGTCATTGTGGGCACAATGAGCCGTGCAGTGAGGCCTGGACGGCCATGAGGTCCACTGGTCCGGCTGGTGGCCTGGGCCTCTCCTCCGGGGAATGGAGGCAATGTTTGCTGGGCTGCAGAGCCTTGGTGGCCGGCATACAGGCCAGAGGAGGCTGCGTCTTGCCCTCCAATCAACCCCAGTTCTGTGTTCTCACCCCTTCCCCCTCATCTAAGAGGAAGGGATCAGGGGGCGGGGGGAGCCCCTTCTTGGTTACTGTGCTGAGGGAGGGGTGGGCGCCTGGACTGCACAGTCCTTCATGGTTTGGGTCCACTTCAGGGTCAGGGAGAGCCCGCCTTCTCCTAGGGTGTCCCTGACTAGGTCTGTGTAAGAGCACATGGCTCACGGGGAAGATGCAAGCAGCCCTGCAAGCTTCTACACTCAGAGCCCCGCCCGGGCTTTGGGCTGGATGCCGGATATTGCATCGACACACACCTGCTAAGCAATGGATTCAGGACAGGGGCCCCCCAGGTAGCAGAGAGCAGCCTGCAACCCACACCCCGTTTCCTAAAGAGAGTCATGGGTGCCAGACGGCCTTCCCAGGAGGAAGGTGCCTGAGTCCAGCCAACAATTCGCTTACAGGCTCACAGAGCCTTTGAAGCCACACGTGTGAGCAGTGGGCCAGCTCGCCTGCCAGAACATTTGTGGAAAACACCTGGCAGTGATTATCCACTTTAGAAAGTAAGGCAGTGATTTCTGTGGCCACAGGGACCCCAAGAACACACAGGACATTATTTACACATTAAAGAAATACTTACCCCTACACCACCACAGGGCAGCCTGACGAACACCGAGGTAAGAGAGCCTGTGGGGAGAAGGAGCGCCGAGGTCAGGGGTGCAAGCTCACAGTGCGCCCTGGCCTGCACGGAGCACAGCGTGGGCCCTGGGAGTGGAGGCGCTGAAAGGTGCTGGTACCCAGTTGCTGAGGGACAACTGATTCACCCATGTGGCCTGCTGCCCCCACAAGGACCTCCCGTGCTCCATGGTGACTGCACACTCCTTGTGGGCAGGAGAGACACCCATGGGTGGGCCTCTGCTTCCAGCCTGAGCTCATGTGCTGTGTGTAGAACGACACGGGAGGCTGTGTCCAGAGCAAACCTTGGGTCCCCAGACTGGACCTGGCCCCTGGGTGGGCTTCTCCGCCACCATAATGCCTCTACATTCTGAGGCTCTAGCAGCCCCCCTGAGCTAGAAACGAGAGGTGGCCCAGATCACACCTGTGGTGAGCCCATAAGAGGTGGTGAGATGGTGTGGGAATGTGAATAAGGACAGCCTCTCCCCTTTACAAGCTCCTGTGGATGCGGCACAGCTGAGAAACCACGATGCATTGATGCTGGCCACCTGGAAGGCTCACCCATGCCCCGGGCACAGAAGCAAGCCCCACCCCCTGCACACCCCCCAGTGCCCAGGCCTGGACCCCGAGACAAGGACTGGACTGTCTCTTCCGTGGTGAGATCCAGTGCTGGTTGACTAGCAGCCTGAACCTGCCTGTCAAGAAGGACTAGATTCCTACCCCACCACACGGCAAAATGTGAAACCCCGGCTCTAGCGTGGCTGCCTGTGCTCAGGGACAGCGAGAATCTCTGTGCTGCCTGGCTGGGCTGGGGCCCTGGCCGCTCCCCTGATGCCCTGGCCTGGCCTCCAGGCCTTCCTGGCAGGTTCCTTGGCCCAGCTTGGGACCTGCTTTCTGGACTTGGCAGGGCTGTGCCCACAGTGGGGGCAGGGGCACTGCCACCATCATCCTCAGCCTGATCCAGGGCCCAGCTCCCACTATGTGCTCCCACGATCATGCTACTGGGACCACAGGAAGAAAACAGGCCTTGGTCACAGGGACTGCTCTGACTCTTGGCAGGATGGCTACCTGCAGAGGGGCCTTGATGAGGTGTGGGCTCCAGCTTAGGCTGGCTCCTGGCCTGGACCATACCAGGCACTGAGCCACCAGGGACCACACAGGGGACCAGCTCCCAGGCGCACCCTCCTTGGCCAGTCAGCTTTGCTGCCCACAGACACTCCCATGTGATGCTCGGCTCACCTGGGGCAGCAGCGAACATCATACTACCCCCTCTGCTGCCCCCTCTAAAGCACACACTCTGGGTCCTGCCCTGGGTCTGCGTCTCCCAGCAGCCTGCCCGCTCTCCTCCACGCACGTCTTACAGGAGGTTTGCTGCTGGGATCCGCAGCTCCGCTACAAGCGGTGACATCAGTCACACCGCTGCTCAGCAGAGCGAGGGGCCTCCGGCCCGACCGAGAGCCTGGGGCATGTCTGCTGGACTCTTTGTGCATCGACCGCTGTCCCACAGCTGCAGCAGTAAGTGGGTCTGTGAGTGGGTGGATGGGGCTGGCCAGGCTGGGAGGGGACTGCCATCGAGCATGGCTCCTGACTGGGGTAGCTCAGCCTGCACCGTGATCCTGGGGCTGTTGCAGGGAAGGGATGGGCTGGTGGAGTGGGATGGGAGCAGGAAGATAGGCTGCAGGCACCTCGCTGTCCTGTGGCAGAGTCACCGCATGGCCTGTTTCATCCACCGAACCACGGCCAGTGGCAAATGCCACTCCCTCCAGGCCCCGTCTCAGAAACGTGACCACCAGGGCTCGGGGTGGCCTCCTGATGGGTGTTCCTCCCATCACAGACTATTCCCACACGCGGGAACGTGCTGCGAGGGACCGGAAGAGCTTTCTCCCAATTTCGGGGTTCGAAGGTATAAGCTTGTGCACGTCTGCGTGTGTGTGTTTGTATACATGCGAGCGAACGAGATCTGGGCTAAGACGCTGGATTTCTGTTTCTGAAATAGGAGCCAGTAATGTCTACACTGAAGTCACAGATCTTCTGAATATTTGGGTTTTGCTCATCATCTGGCAAACAAAGACCAAAACAGTAAGCAAAGGTGGTATGAGCAGGCCAGTGCACAGCCATGCTTGGGTGAGCGGCGGCACGTGAGGTCGGGAGGTGAGGTCGGGGCAGGGAGGCTGCTCCGGTGACAGGGCTCCTGGTGCAGAAGGCCTCTGCCCCCGCCCCTGGGGACTGCTCCACGTGTCCTCCTCTGGCCTCTGGTGACCTGGGGCCACCATCTTCTACCAGGCCACTGAACATTCAGGCCAAGGCATGGGGGACGATGCATTCGAGGCCACTCTTGCTTTTCCAGTCATGGAGGGCGGCTGACAGGCAGGCTGGGGCGCTGCTGGCGTCAGGGAGAAGCTGCTTTTCCTCTGTGCGCTGAGCAGGGGGGCCTTCTTGTGACCTCTCACCTGAGAGCCGCGGGGCAAAAACTCAGCTACCAGACTAGGCTACCTTCCCGGGTCCCTGCCATCGTAAGGTGAGCCCTGACTTCCAGGAACGACTGCAGCAGCGCCCAGTCAGTCCCCTCCAGCCTCCACAGTCCACCTCGCCCACCCGAGCTGTGCCATTGCACCACATTAACCACATGGCTTTTCCTGCACAGCTTAGAGATTTGTGGATTCAATTAAAGGAGGAAGGGAAGTCACACAGAAGTGTTTAAACACCTAATTAGGGTTATGTTAACAACATCTGAGATAATCACTGCTGTCACCATGTCTGGAATACTTAGACTGGTGGTAGTGAAGTTTGTTGGTTAGGACAATCATCAGAAATTCAAAAATAAGTCTCAAGGAGAGGATGGTAACCCATCAGGAATCCTCCTAACAATGTGAAAAGATCTTGAAACTCAGAGTTTAGCAAAAAAAGGAAAGCCAATGATTATAATATCAGTAATGGAAATTAAACACACACACACACACACGCAATATATACTTTGCAACATACTGGGCCACAAAATAAACACTAAACACTCAGATGGCTGTGTGTGGGGTGGGAGGATGACAGGAAACCACAGCAGGAGCAGGGCTTCCAGGGACCCCAGACATTGGCCTGAACCCAATGGGACACACCTTCCAGCCACACGGGCCCAGGCAGGCCGGGACGACAGGTCCGCAGGGAAGCGCCAGGCCCTCCCAGGACACTCCTGTACTGCCTCCCGAGGACCCCACGCATCCCATGCCTCTCCTTTCTTTCTGGTCACCTCTCTTATTAAACGCAGTTTGAAACTAGCTTAAAAATAGGTCCATTCTCCTGCAGTGAACTCAGCCCACCCTCACCTTCCACACGGGTAATTCTCCCAGCTGCCTGCTGACCTCCACTAGTTTGAAGACCGATGCTCGGCAGGGGCCGACCGACACCCGGCCCTTCGAGAACAGGTGAGGAGCGGGGTGCGCCAGGAAGCAGGGTGCACTTGGCCCTTTAGGAAGGAGGGTGGGCAGGGACACGCAGTGTTTGGGGGAGAGCTGCGCCCGATGCCGCTCTGACTGCAGGACATCTTGAGGCCACCCTGAGAATTCCCAGCCATGGGTGACGTTGGGGGTGGCACTGGTGCCAACACGGAGGAGTGCTAGACAGAGGAGAGCACCCAGCTGCACGGCCCCACGTGGAAGCACGCGTCCTGGGCTGGCTGCGCTCCTCTGCACCCGCCTCCTCCCAGAGGCCCTTGCCCTCTCCACTGTCTGAGTCCTCGAAGGCTCCTTTCCAATGCACGCAGCCTGGTTACAGGCCGGAGACCCACTCTTCCTGCCCAGCTGGTGCCCTGGCTCCTGTGCTGCCTGGGCCCCAGCCCTCTGCCAGACGCCTTGTCCTCCCTGCCCTCTGCCTGGGTCCTGCCACATGGCCACGGGGCTGAGGCCTGGGCACCTGCACGCCCCTCAGAGTTGGGGGACCATGGCAGCCTGCTGGGGGCTGCATGGATGGCACAGCCCTGCAGACTGTGCGGTACACGTCCACAGCCTGCGTCACCAACACCAGGCACCGCCGTCCACGGGACTGGGAGCCTCTCCCGCTTCTGGCCGACTGTCCCCACCTCGCCTCACAGTTTTGCCTCCAACTGTGCATCCAGAACTGCAATGGCTGAGCTTTGAAAAGATGAGTCGAGCAGCAAAAACAAACCTTGCCTTGTAAGCAGGACACGAGGGCCTCTGTGAGGTGACGCCTCCCAGGACGAGGCGGGTCTGTGGCCTCTGGGCCACATTCTGGCACCAGCCTGTCTGGTGTTCTCAGCGAGCCTTAGAGAATAAGCTCATGGCAGCAGGAGCACCTGGCAGGGCTGAGGACCAGGCCTGCCACGTGGCTGGGAGGAGACATGGTGCCAGATGTCCTTCTAAGGCCACTAAGAAGTGCAGGAAGATAGGCTGCAGGCACCTCGCTGTCCTGTGGCAGAGTCACCGCATGGCCTGTTTCATCCACCGAACCACGGCCAGTGGCAAATGCCACTCCCTCCAGGCCCCGTCTCAGAAACGTGACCACCAGGGCTCGGGGTGGCCTCCTGATGGGTGTTCCTCCCATCACAGACTATTCCCACACGCGGGAACGTGCTGCGAGGGACCGGAAGAGCTTTCTCCCAATTTCGGGGTTCGAAGGTATAAGCTTGTGCACGTCTGCGTGTGTGTGTTTGTATACATGCGAGCGAACGAGATCTGGGCTAAGACGCTGGATTTCTGTTTCTGAAATAGGAGCCAGTAATGTCTACACTGAAGTCACAGATCTTCTGAATATTTGGGTTTTGCTCATCATCTGGCAAACAAAGACCAAAACAGTAAGCAAAGGTGGTATGAGCAGGCCAGTGCACAGCCATGCTTGGGTGAGCGGCGGCACGTGAGGTCGGGAGGTGAGGTCGGGGCAGGGAGGCTGCTCCGGTGACAGGGCTCCTGGTGCAGAAGGCCTCTGCCCCCGCCCCTGGGGACTGCTCCACGTGTCCTCCTCTGGCCTCTGGTGACCTGGGGCCACCATCTTCTACCAGGCCACTGAACATTCAGGCCAAGGCATGGGGGACGATGCATTCGAGGCCACTCTTGCTTTTCCAGTCATGGAGGGCGGCTGACAGGCAGGCTGGGGCGCTGCTGGCGTCAGGGAGAAGCTGCTTTTCCTCTGTGCGCTGAGCAGGGGGGCCTTCTTGTGACCTCTCACCTGAGAGCCGCGGGGCAAAAACTCAGCTACCAGACTAGGCTACCTTCCCGGGTCCCTGCCATCGTAAGGTGAGCCCTGACTTCCAGGAACGACTGCAGCAGCGCCCAGTCAGTCCCCTCCAGCCTCCACAGTCCACCTCGCCCACCCGAGCTGTGCCATTGCACCACATTAACCACATGGCTTTTCCTGCACAGCTTAGAGATTTGTGGATTCAATTAAAGGAGGAAGGGAAGTCACACAGAAGTGTTTAAACACCTAATTAGGGTTATGTTAACAACATCTGAGATAATCACTGCTGTCACCATGTCTGGAATACTTAGACTGGTGGTAGTGAAGTTTGTTGGTTAGGACAATCATCAGAAATTCAAAAATAAGTCTCAAGGAGAGGATGGTAACCCATCAGGAATCCTCCTAACAATGTGAAAAGATCTTGAAACTCAGAGTTTAGCAAAAAAAGGAAAGCCAATGATTATAATATCAGTAATGGAAATTAAACACACACACACACACACGCAATATATACTTTGCAACATACTGGGCCACAAAATAAACACTAAACACTCAGATGGCTGTGTGTGGGGTGGGAGGATGACAGGAAACCACAGCAGGAGCAGGGCTTCCAGGGACCCCAGACATTGGCCTGAACCCAATGGGACACACCTTCCAGCCACACGGGCCCAGGCAGGCCGGGACGACAGGTCCGCAGGGAAGCGCCAGGCCCTCCCAGGACACTCCTGTACTGCCTCCCGAGGACCCCACGCATCCCATGCCTCTCCTTTCTTTCTGGTCACCTCTCTTATTAAACGCAGTTTGAAACTAGCTTAAAAATAGGTCCATTCTCCTGCAGTGAACTCAGCCCACCCTCACCTTCCACACGGGTAATTCTCCCAGCTGCCTGCTGACCTCCACTAGTTTGAAGACCGATGCTCGGCAGGGGCCGACCGACACCCGGCCCTTCGAGAACAGGTGAGGAGCGGGGTGCGCCAGGAAGCAGGGTGCACTTGGCCCTTTAGGAAGGAGGGTGGGCAGGGACACGCAGTGTTTGGGGGAGAGCTGCGCCCGATGCCGCTCTGACTGCAGGACATCTTGAGGCCACCCTGAGAATTCCCAGCCATGGGTGACGTTGGGGGTGGCACTGGTGCCAACACGGAGGAGTGCTAGACAGAGGAGAGCACCCAGCTGCACGGCCCCACGTGGAAGCACGCGTCCTGGGCTGGCTGCGCTCCTCTGCACCCGCCTCCTCCCAGAGGCCCTTGCCCTCTCCACTGTCTGAGTCCTCGAAGGCTCCTTTCCAATGCACGCAGCCTGGTTACAGGCCGGAGACCCACTCTTCCTGCCCAGCTGGTGCCCTGGCTCCTGTGCTGCCTGGGCCCCAGCCCTCTGCCAGACGCCTTGTCCTCCCTGCCCTCTGCCTGGGTCCTGCCACATGGCCACGGGGCTGAGGCCTGGGCACCTGCACGCCCCTCAGAGTTGGGGGACCATGGCAGCCTGCTGGGGGCTGCATGGATGGCACAGCCCTGCAGACTGTGCGGTACACGTCCACAGCCTGCGTCACCAACACCAGGCACCGCCGTCCACGGGACTGGGAGCCTCTCCCGCTTCTGGCCGACTGTCCCCACCTCGCCTCACAGTTTTGCCTCCAACTGTGCATCCAGAACTGCAATGGCTGAGCTTTGAAAAGATGAGTCGAGCAGCAAAAACAAACCTTGCCTTGTAAGCAGGACACGAGGGCCTCTGTGAGGTGACGCCTCCCAGGACGAGGCGGGTCTGTGGCCTCTGGGCCACATTCTGGCACCAGCCTGTCTGGTGTTCTCAGCGAGCCTTAGAGAATAAGCTCATGGCAGCAGGAGCACCTGGCAGGGCTGAGGACCAGGCCTGCCACGTGGCTGGGAGGAGACATGGTGCCAGATGTCCTTCTAAGGCCACTAAGAAGCCCTGGCCAACCTGGGCAGCAGGGCCTGGAGAGAGGAACGGGCTGCTGGCCAAGACAGGAGAGGCCAGGGAGGACCTGGGACAGGTCAGCAGCATCAGTGATCAAGGGAGACGGCCCGACAGGTGGGCTCTCAGCCACGTTGTCAGGGCTGTTTGGGGTGCTTCTGCGTGGGGAACATGGCCGCCTCCTGGCCCTGCCTTCGCCATCCTATTGGGCTGGCCTCCGTGACTGCTGTGGTGTGAATGCTGACGTCCCCGCAAAGCCCACACATTGGAATCCTTCCGCCAACATGACGGCGTTGGGCAGTGGGGCCTATGGGAGGCAGTCAGGTCATCGGGGGGACTCATGAGGGGACTAGTGCCCAAGGACAAGGCCTGGAGAGCTCCCTTCCCACCTCCAGCAGGGAGTACCTGGAAGAGGCCCTCACTGACCAGGTGCCACCCTGATCCAGGCCTTCCAGCTTCCGGAACTGTGAGCAGCCAATTCCTGCTGCGGACGAGCCCCATCCATGCCATCTGGTCACGGCAGCTGGAACGGCCAGCACAGGGGTGGGCCCCCTGCCCACGGCCCTGGCGCCTCTCCAGGCCTCCTTTCGCTTTGGTGCAACTTGTCCTCCAGCAGCCTTGACACAGGCTGTGCAAAAGGCGTTCCCAGGACCTCAGTGCCCGCAGAGGCCTGTTCCATGCTCGTCCTTGGCCTGCAGTCTGGGGACCTCAGGCTGGTGGGGCTCCTCTGCAGGGCCGGGTTCTGCCTGCCTCTGAGGAGTGCTGTGCCCTGGCCCCGCAGCCTGGCTCCCTGGAATCTCATGCCATCTTGTCTTGTCCCAGCAGCTCTGAGGTCTCCCAGCGGTGCTAGGCGGTGGGTTCCCCCAGCCGAGATTTGTCCCCCGGCCTGAGGACTGGCTTGCAGTCACTTCTCCAGAGGCCCTGCTCCGCAGCCCCATGCCAGGAACACCCCCTTGACTTCTTACTCCTCCTCTCCTTTCTCCAGCTCCTCACTTCCCGGCCTGCTTCCTGGGGCGCTGACTTGGTGCACCCTCTACAAGGACTCGGGACCTGCACACTCACGTCACTTCCCCTGAACGCTCCGAGCCTTCTTTTCTACTGTACATATCCACGTCACATGGGTGTGACACTTTCCATCTTTAAAGATACTAGTGAGTTTTCTCTAGTCCCCTACAGGAGTCTGTCTGCCACGCTGCTTTGCACCCAGCTCTTCTCCCTAAGTACTTTCTCAGGTGCAGCTGAGCTTTAGCCACCCACGTGTGACCAAGAGTCAGGACCCACAGCCAGCTGGAAGCCGGGGCCCAGGGTGGGCTTACGAACTGTTAGCTCCACCAGGAAAATCTTGGGGGGCTATTTGTTGGGGTGCCCCTGATGTGTCTTTTGAGCTGGTCATTCCCCAAAGAGGGGTCTGCTACCTCTGCCTGGGGGTGAAGGTCGGTCAGCACGTGGGGAGCACAGCAGGGCAGCAGGTAGGGTGGCGGCACCTGCCCCAGCCTGGGGACCCTGTGCTGTCTGTCCAGGGCTATGGAGTCAGACAGGTGTTGAGATCCCTTTGGCCCACCTTTGTCTGAGCCCCTCCCTGCCCCCACCCCAGGTCCAGAGTCTCTGTAGTCGCTGCCCCTGGTCACCCAACTTTAGGGGCTGAGTTGGGTGATTTCTGTCCTGGTGCTGGCTCAGGAACGCTCTTCCTGGCACTTGCCGTCTGGCTCTGAGGTCCACCTGCTCGCCAGCTGCCAGGCTCTCCCGTGGCTGGCTCCCAGCAAGTGCTCACATCTTTTAAAAGTCCTGTTCCCACAGGGAAAGGGGCTCGGAAGCAACATGAGAGGCCACCCTAGGCCAGAGCCCACGTTTCCTCATGGCCTCTGGATCCCTGCTGTCCGAGGGCAAGGGCCACTCTCACCCTGTCGGGTGGCTCAGGGCCAATGGAGTGGCCAGCACAGATGATGCGCTCCATGAGCAAGGGAGTGAATGAATGAAGCCACATGGCAGCCGGCTCCTGTGAGGTCCCAGGGTGCCCAGCATGGGGCCCAGTGCAGAGGGGGCTTTCCTCACTGAGAGGGCGCAGCTCGGGGCCCACCGGCTTCCCCTCACCCGGTGACCCCAGGGCATGTGACTCCCAACCCCTGACCCCTTTCCATGCTTCGGCTCACGCCCAGGGAGCCTGGGGTGAGTGGGGAGGGAGAGGAAGTCCGTGGATGGTGACTATCCAGTTCGAGGCTGGGAGGCTGGGGCAGAAATCGCCCAGGAGGGTGCCGACTCGGGCGGGTCCTGGAGCCTGAGAGGCACCACCTCCCCTCCCGCGGCAGGAGACGCCTGCCGCCTGGGTCTGTCCCCCCGGCCGCCCCCACAAGCCGGAAGCTGGGCTTAAACCCGCTCCAGGCTCACCACACAGGAACTCGAGCATCCCTGTCAGCCTCCAGCACCCAAGCTCTGCTACTTAAGATTCTGCAAAGCCAGTGGTTCTGGGTCTACCTTGCATCCAACACACATGACACAAGGCGAGAAGCCTTCATGAATGCTGAGAGTGAGAACTTCTCCAGCCCTTCAGCTCAGGACCTGGCGGGCAGCACGGAGAAGGCCGTCCCTGGGGGAGCCCTGGCTGGCACAGCCACTGAGGCTGAGGGAGGACGGCAGGGCTTCCAGCCAGCGCAGGGCTGGAAACACGACCTTGGGCGGTAAAGGTAAAGAAGGCCTTGAAATACCTAGAAGTTTCTTACTGTCCAGTTTCTGCCTGTTGAGGGGGTTTGTGCCGTAGAGCAGGGTGTGGGCCTCTGAATGCACCGTCTGCAGCTCCTCCAGGGTGGCCTTCCGTCCGCGGATGCACTGCAGGGACATGAAGCAAGAGGTACTCACCTCTCTCACCGGCCCTCAGGGCTCAGCCTCCACAGACAACCATTCACACGAAAACCATCACCCAAAATGAAACTGAATTTCATACGTGGAAAAAAAAGGTATTTGATGATTGCAAGGTAGGACACAAACATCTCAATGTGATAAATATTTTAGAATGTTCACACTTTAACTGTAACTTTGGAAAACGTTTAGAAAGATGATTCCAGCCTCCAATCCTTCACCTTTACTGTCACACAAGCGATTGGGCAGCAATTCCTCCGCTTGCCAGCCCCTCTGCCCGGCTCTGGTCTTAAAACAGAGAAGGAGGCCAGAGGTGGAGCGGCCGCCCGCCAGTTCTCCGTCCTGGAGAAGGGGGAGATGCTGAGCCTTCCTGCAGGGCCTCAGATCTCCAGCCGGTCATCTGCTTTTTTCTTTGATTTGGAAATTCCTCAAATCATCACCCCTAGGCTACTGCCCTCTTATTGCAGGAAATTAACATACGAAGCAGTATTCTTTAGTTGAGCTGCATTTATTTAACCTTTTAAAAGGAAGGTGGCTTCCGAAGTGAGATTAAAGTGTTTGGCAATAGGCGGCCTTCTTGGGAAGAGGACACCCCTCCTGAGGCCTCGGTGGGGCCGACCCGGGGTCGGGAGGGGCTCGCCGGGTCTCCCGAGGCCCACGCGTTGCTCCGGAGCCAAGGGCAGGCGGGACTGTTCTCGCCAGAGACCCGGGGACTGGCCACTGCTCCTGACGGGCTGCGGGCCTCCCAAGGGCCGTACACTGGGGGTGCCACGGCACCCCTCTGCTGCCCCGCCCAGAAGGGGGAGGCTCCAGCGCCGGCAGAGCCCCGCCCCCTCCACATCCTGCCCAGGTGGCCCAGCGGAGCAAGGGGGCTCAGCCGAGAAGTCGGGGCTCTGGGCTTGCACTGCCCGCTGGTCCCCCAGCATCTCTACTGTCAGAGGCCGACTCCCGCCAGCCCGGCCCTGGGCCCTGGGCCCTGCCTCCTCAGGAGGCCCGCGCTGGGAGTGGGCAGGTGAGGCCGGTGGTGGCGGGGACCCCGCAGTCCCTTGGGCTGAGTGGTCACGTCACCCTCTGAACGAGGAAGTATGTGCCACGTGGAGCGTCTCCACATGCGTTGAGGGTGCCTGGCTCTGCATCTCTGGTTGCGTGCTGCGTGGATGGCCACGTTAGACCCAGGCCTCCTCCTGACCACCCTACCACTCGGTCACCAGAGCCCCAAGAGCCCTCTCCTCCACCCCACCCACCCCCAGGTCTCCACTGGTGACGAGGTCGGCCCTTCCCCGATGGTGCCTAGTGGAGGCGGAGAGGGTCCAGGGTCCCATCCCTGGGTCTCTCCTGTCTCACTCCTACTGCTAAAGTTCCCCTTCCTGCTGAGAAGCCGCCTCAGCGGCCCCCGGGCCTGAGTGGCCCTGGGAGGGTCCCGGGACCTCAATGCCTGGAGCAGGCCTTTGGAGGAGGGGGAACAGAAAACTGCCGGTTTCCTCCCAGCCAGTCCACTGGGGCGATGCTGCCTCCCAGGGTGCAGCTTCCCCTCCAAACTCGCCTCCTCCCAGAGGCACTCAGGCAGGGCTGTGGACGCACCTGTGTGAACGTCCCCCCAGGAGTCCCAGATCGCCATGAAGCTGCTAACGGTGGGCCCCTGGAGGACATGACTGGGACCTTACGTACTCTACGCGGTCCAGCTTCTGAAGGGCAGGACAGGGGCGTGGGCAGAGGCAGCCTCCCTGAAGGCAGCCATGGGCAGTAGGAAGGAGTTGTGGCTTCTCTAGAAGGCAGCCTGTACCCACAGGTGCCCAGCACATTCTGGAAACGCTCGCAGGCTCTGCCCAGGCGGTCACACCTGCCCGATTCCCGGATGCCCACCAGCAGCCTTACCTCGCACTTGCCCCGAAGGCCGGTCTCCTGCAGCCGGGACCAGATGCTCTGGATCCTGCCGGCGTGCTCCGGGTGGCTGTTGGTGTTCCCGCAGGTGCACTGGTGCTTCAGCATCAGCGTGTCATACACGAGGCCTGAGCAGGGCAGGGCTGCTGTCAGGGCTGTCGACAGCAGGCCCACCCTGGGAACGGGGGCCCCCCACTGGCCCAGAAAGCTGCCCGAGTCTGCAGCAAACCCCACTTCCTAGGAGTGGATGGAGGCCAGCACGGCAGTCCGTCCTGCGGGACGATTTGCCAGGGAACACAAGTTCGCTAGAAACCAAGTGGAGTTCAGCAAAGTGAAGGCAGAGGCGGGGCTGGGTGCCCCTGCTGACAGCACCCACCCAGGTATGAGCTGCCATCACCCTGGGGCCCGTGTGCAGCTGGCTATGCCGACACAGGCCACCCCAAGGGCTCAGGGCTCTTGGGGTACGAGCTGTGAGGTGCTTGTGCTGCAGAGGACCATGCTGACTTGAAGAAACAGGGGATTTTGGTTCAAAATCCTGAGTCTATCTGTCAGGTACCAATCTCTTCAGAAAGTGGTTCTGGTGGACTGAGAACTATCTGAGGTTCCCGGGGTTCAGAAGGAAGACCAGACTTGGCTCCTGCCCTTACAGGCTTTGAGAAGTCTGGGATACTAACATGGAAGCAGTGCATTTGAAATCAGCCTGGAAATGGAATAACTAGAGACCAGAAACTTGCACTGACCCCCGAGGCCATGGGCCTGTTCAGGATGCAGCCAACAGCTGATTCCTGTGGGCACCCAGCACAGAGCCAGCCTTGGGGATGGGGACCTGCAGTGCTGAGGTCGCCCCCAGGGAGACACCCAGGTCACCGCCAGCCAGCCTGGGAGCCAGCCTGGCCTCTGCTGCATAGGGGCAGTGACAGTCCCAGAGGTCTTGGTGAGGACGATGCTGTGAAGGTGGAGACGAGGTGGGAAGGTGGGTGCTGGGTACCCCACACAGCTCCCTCCAGGGTGCACTGCTGTTTTTCATGCCTCACCTGCAGAAGGTGAGGGGGAAGGGGGTTCCCCAGGGTGCCAAGTGTGGGGGCGCCCTGCCGCAGCACTGTCTATAGTCACCTCCCACTCCTGGCCTCCCAGGGTTGTGCAATAGGAAGGCCAGCCTGGGTGAACAGGTGCCCTCAGCAGGCAGCTCTCTGAGAAGGGGTTATCTGCTGCCAATACCTGCTCGTTCAGTCAGAGAAAGCCAGGGACCCCCGTGCAAAGTAAAGTACATGGGCTACAGATGCAGCCCCACGGCTGCTGCTCCCGCATCTGATGCTGGAAGGTGAGGCAGCATCACCCACATGGGCAACGAGCTTCAGGGGGGTGCCTGTTTCTACAGGGCCCAACTGGACACTGGCCTCAGGGTGTATTAGTCCCAGCACCTCTCTGCTCAGTCTCTTGTGAGTCAGGCTAACAGGAGTCAGTCCCCCTGTACTGGAGGAATCCTGGGTAAAAAACAGTGCTGGGGTCATGGTGGGGCTTCCGGCAAAAAAGCAGGTCAGGAGCAGGCTTACAGGACCCAAATGAGAAACTCACCATCAGCACACTTAGGTGTGTGGGCAAGATGTGTATACCCAAGGGGGGTGCATTCTGTAGTTTGTAATGTCAACATATGCACACAGATGTATGTACATGCACATGCATACAAGGTTCACATGTACTTAAACTATCTAGATTTCCGTCAGTATAATGAATGTGGCCTGTCCATTTAACAGCATCACTGTGATGGAACAGTTTGCTGACACTTACTGGGCATGTGACTAGAAACTTTGGGGTGGTCACCACTGTTATTTCATCTTACAGAAGGAAAACCAGGGCCCAGAGAGATGGAGGTGCACAGATCTGCAACTGGTGAGTGGTGGAGCCAGCAGGGGGTCCCAGCCACAGCAAAAGAACAAACCGAATGGGGGCACGTGGACTTGGAGAGGTGGCCAAGATGGTGTGAACACTGACCAGGCACCCGGCACAAGAGGGCCCATCTTTGTCAAATAAGCCATGTCTGCTTTCACCTCTGGCTTTGTGTAGAGCTAAACCTGGAAGACCTAAACCAAATTGCTAACAATGGCTACCTCTGGGAAGTGGGATTAGGGGCGACTGTTAATTTCCATGTTTCCATCATGTTTTATTTTACCCTGAACATGTACTGTTTTATAAAATTTTAAGAAGTTCTAACAAAGACAGATTAAGAAAGTGCATGAACATGGGCCACTAGCTGGGCCCATCCTGGTGACGGCACACACACGGGCACCGTCCACGGCGGGCACCTGTCCTGTGGGCCATTCCACCCTGGGGCCTGGACTATGGTCTCTGTCGCCTGAGCTGTGCCCTTGCAAGAACATACCCAGCCCAGCCAGTGGCTATAGGGTCTTTTGCTCCGGCACGGATCACCTGCTGAGGATACTTTTGACCTTTTGCAGTTTTCTGGTTTGCTTTCTGAAAAGCACAATTTCTGGATAATTATGATTTAAATTTTTCTCTGAATATGAACGGTGTCCTTCTAAGCCTGGCAAAGAGAACTGAGTCATAGTCAGCCATTGCACATTCCAATGTGCAGGCCGGCAGGATTGTACACGGACTGTTCAAAGGAAGATAAAACCGTCTGTGGTCAGGTAACTTTTTCTTGACATGTCACGGAAGAGAAGTACTGCAGGAGCGTGAAGGTCTATCCTGGCCACCTGCATGCTGGACTGGCTGGCGCTGGGCCATGGGGACCGGCTGGCAAGCAGTCTCCCTCCTGGGGGACTCCTGTTCATGAGCCCAGGGCTTGGACTCGTGCCCACCTTGCTCGTCTATGCATCCTCACTCCTGCCATATGGGTGGTGCCTCTCGGGCAGAAGCCATACTGCCCACGGCCCTCTCCCTGGCTCTTGCAGGGGTGGGTGGGGCTTGTGAGATGGTACAGATGGGAGCGCACCCGCCAGCAAAGAGCCTGGGCACCACCACCCAGAGGGCAAGTGCACAGGGGCTGGCACTCCTCTGGTCTCACCGTCAAGGCCCTGCTTGGTCAGCTCAAAGAGGGGACAGAGGAGAAGGGCAGGGACATTACCCTGCTGACCACAGACAGGAAGCTACCCTGCTGACCGCACAGCCATGCCAGCTCACGGGTGCACTTTTTTCTGGAGGAGACTGTGATTCTCTGGGAAAGGGGAGGTGGGCTTTTGTGCCTTGGACAGACTCTCAGGCTCACAGAGTTGGGAGCGGAAAGGAAGCTTCAGTGACTGAACCCAGGACTGAGCCCAGGTGCAGTTGCTGGTCCTCAGGAACCGTCCTCGGCCCCGCAGGAGCCCTGGGGGCCCACAGGGCTGGAGGAGGCAGGCTTGAGAGTGGCTGCCCCAGTGCCCACCTGCCCCAGTGCCCACCTGCCCCAGCGCTCACCTGCCCCAGCCCCCACCGCACACATACCTGTGGTGAACCTTGGCTTGGCGGGAGGCTCCTGCACAGACATGGGGAAGGTGGCAGACGCTGGGGAGGACTGAGCCCGGGACAGAGGCCGGTGGCCGCCGAAGGACACAGGGATGCCGGCGGCCTCCATTGACGCCTGGTAGTTCCTCAGCTGGTGGATGCGCTGCTGCTCCAGCAGGAGGGCTTGCTGAGGGGCAGGGTGGGGGGCAGTGCCTTGATGCCCTGCCCCTCCCACCTCCTGGCTGCAGAGCTGGGGTATCCCTTGCTTGCACATCATTCACCCACGTGCAGCACATGCTTTGGGAGCACACCAGGGCCAGCCAGCTGGGGACGGGCCACCTGACACCTGCAGGTGGCCCTCTTGGCACAGGCTGCCGCTGTCCTGGCTTTGACCAGGAGTACTTCACTGGCACACCAGACATGCGGTCAAATAGCCACGGAGAGGGGAAGCTAGCCCAGCTCCACCCACAGCGTTTGTACCTCCTGCCGTCTCACTAGCCCACATCCCCACCCAGGACAAGGCTGCTAAGGCCAAGAAGAAACACCCTGCTCAGGCTCCAGGTGCCCAGTCAGGGGGGTGGCGGGGGTTGGCAGGGTGAGGACGCGCCTCTCAGGAGGTGGGGACCCGGATGGATTGGCCCCAGGACCCTTCTATCACCGTCTTTCAGCAAAAATAACCAGAGTAAAGGGAGTGGATTTAACACACACTTACATGAAAAACTCATTAAAATTACATTTCTATGTGAAGAGCTCGTGTCTGCAAGAGTGAAACCGCAAGGATCTCAAACAGGAAGTTTTGGGGGCTCGAGTGTGAAAGGGCAGGTCTCTTAAGATGCTCGGAAGCAGGCATAGCCTGCTGCCCCACACAGGGCACTGCTTCGTGCTGCTGCTGAAGCTGCACGGGGCCAATTCATCGCACCACTCTCCTCCTCTGGGCTTGGAGTCAGTGGGGAACCCACGCAGATTCCGGCAGAGGCCGCAGAGGTGGAGGGAGAGGCATGGGCCCAGGGCCACAACAGACGCGAGAAGTGCTGGGTCTGTGCAGCGTGGGTCCCTGGCTACCTGAGGAGGCAGACCTCGAGGTGTGGCCTGTGGGAGCCGCCAGGCCCGCAAGGAGGGGCAGAGCTGCTTTCCCAGGCCCCACCCCCCTGCCACCTGCACAGGTATGGCCTCCTGCAGGCTGGGTGTGGGGAAGACAGCTCCCCCTGGAGCTGGGCTGCTTTTTAGGAACAAATCTCATCGTTTTGGAAGTCCTGGTCAGTGACCCCAACCCCTGGATAAGCAGCAGGAGCAGAGCAGGCCACCCTCTACACGGAGGCAGAGTCCAGACGCAGCACAGGAAGAGGGCCTCAGATGCCGGGGACACACCCAGGGGGCCCTCTCTCCCTCGCTTCTGCTGGCAGAGCTCCCCAACTCTGATGGGCTCACACGCGACCTCACAGACACCTAAAACCAACCGCCCCTCTCTCGATATTCCCAGTTTACAGAAAATTGGATACCCCGCCTTGTGCTTATGCCTGCAGATCGCCGAGTGTACCGCCAGGTTCCCCTGACAAGGAGTTCTGTTTGATAGGCCCGAAGAACATGGAAAACAAGTATTTCTAATAACTGTCTCAAGCTTGGAGTACAATAAGGCTGTTTTTCCTAAACAAATGCTAATCATTTTATCACCTGCATTAGCCCTAGAAATTTATGTAAGTACTTTCCAATTTCATATCAACGTACTAATAACACACTTAATTTCAGTTATAAGAGATTTCCTTCCTTCATAACCTTTCGCAGCCCATGTCGGGCCTGTCCCACTGAGGCGCCAGCCACGCTCGCCAAGGCTGTGCGGTCCACAGAGCGGTGAGGACAGAGGCTGCCTGCTCGCCTGCTTTCCTTACTGCTGGTTCCAGAGCACCTTGTCCACAGCGGTTTGGTGCCTGGGGTGCTGATGAAGTAGTGGCCAGACAGAAATCAGGCCACGTCTGAAGAGAAACGGAAAAGCACCATCAGCCCAGCTGGGTGCAGGGCCCACCCTGAAGGGCGGAAGCTGGGGCTGGAGGGAGGGGCCTGCCAGCACAGAGGTCAGAGGAGTGAGCGGAGCCCCCGCCACGGGAAGCTTCCCCAGTGCAGCCGGGGAGGCCGGAGCCTGCGCCCTGGGCTGCTGGAGCCCTGGAGGAGCTCAGCCGGTGGCCGGCATGAAGTCCAGGGAGGAGGGAGAAGACAGGCCAGGGGCCCCGGAACCCCACACGCAGCCCCACTGCTGAGGACACGACCAGATTCTGCTTCTGGGGGACCCTGGCTCTGTGTTCTGCTCACCAGGGATAATGAAACTTCCTGGTGGCCCTTGGGCTTCTGACATGGGGTTTCCAACTAGCTGGCCGGCTACCCTAATGTTTGGTTGACCTGGAAGCTTTATTTTTCACTGTAAATTAGTAAATAATTGTTGGATTTATGCATCAGTCTTTCATGAGCTTGGCTTTTGCATGTCAGTGCCTGGGAACCTTACTGGCACTAGGTGCCTGGGTCACACTGCTTCCTGGGAGTGTAGAGATGGCCACTACTGCCTCCTTGGCCCCAAAAGGTCCTGCCTACCTTTCTGATTAATCACAAAATCACTCTCCCTGCCCCTATCTTCAGTGATTATGTTGATCCTTCCAATATCTGGATTCATGTTAATCTATAATCTACAGACCTGGAAGAAAACTACCCCTAGGGAGTTCTGTTCAGCATTTGGCAGGAAAGCAGTGCATAAATGCCCAAGGTGGACACGTGGTCAGGATCTCTAGGGGCAGCTAATGCAAATAGGCACAAAGCGACACCTCCCGCTCACCCACCATGGTGGGCGGATGAGGGCCTGCGAAGGCAGGGGTGGGAGGGAGAGGCCCTTCAGTTCCCACGAATGGTGGGCCAGGGGGCGCCGTCCAGGAACGGGGCCCAGGGCCGGAGGGCCTGCAGGTCTCCGTCTCCTGCCCGGCCGCCCGCTCCCACGTCGCGTGCCCCTGCCCAGCATGGTCACCTGTCTGAAGAGCAGCTCCTGCTCCGAAGGGGGGCGCTGGCCTGGCTCCGCCTCCCGGGAGGGCTCTGCCTCCTCCTCGTCACTCTCGACGGGCTCCTGCTTCACCTGCACGCCCGCCAGCGCGTGCGCCTCCTGCTGCCCTGAGCGCCGGTCCAGGTAGGGCTCCTCCAGGAGGGCCTGGTGCTCACGGAGCTCCTCCTCCGTCTCCTCAGGGTGGCTCTCGGGCTGCCGGGCCGGCTCGCTCTGTTTGGGGATAATCTGCAACGCAGAGGTAATGAAGGGCAACAGATTATGGGACAGCAAGAGGCGATCAGACTCCAAACCTGGAAACCATGGGATGGCGACCGAAGGATATCACGCTGAGCCAAGGCCAGCAGGTGCAGTGCCATCACTCACCCACGTGGCTGGGCGCTGTCCGTGGTGCAGAGAATTAACGCCGAGGCCCAGCCAGGCCTGCCCAGCCCCAGGAAGGGGGCCGACTGGCATCATGGCTTCAAGAAACGCGAACCTCTCTTAAAGCCCCCAGACCTCGCTGCTGCAGAGAATGACCCTTTCCACCACCTTCTGTTTCTAGGAAATGTGCTTTCAAGGCTCGCTTCTCACCCACTCGCTGCAGCCCGGTCTGCATGCACCCCAGGGGCAGGCTCGGGGGCCCCTCTGTGTAAGCCTCAGTGTCCCACAGCTCGTTACCGGGGGAACCCGGGGCCCAGACGTGTGGGCATGCACACAAAACTTGGCTGAGTCTTGCTTTGCTGTAAGAAAATGGAGACTTTGGATTGGGCTAGGGATCATTTCACATGGTTATTACTCAAGTCACTTACCACCACCATTTTAAAGTGGAGCATGACTGAAAACCAAGCCACAGAAACCCCTAGGCACTTTCTTAGCAAGGACTCCTCAGAACACCTCGACCTGGCAGAGAGAATTCGAGCACAAAGAGCTGCCGAGAAGCAGGACGGTTCAGGTTTCAGGGGCAGGGAGGCCGGTGAGAGGGGATAAGGCCAGGAAAGCGGCACACAGGCCAGAAACTCCATTTCAGGTAAACCATCCGCCATCCTTCTATCCAGTTTGCTTTGGTTGGTTTGACCAAAATTTCGTAAAAATTTTGGCACTTTGAGATTTATGATTGTCTCTTGTCAATCACATCTTCTTCCTACACACCTGGAGCCCAAGAGACCCCGTTATGAGCTCTGCTGAACAAAGTACATTCAGGCCCAAGAAGGACCTCCTGCCTAGGATGGGGGTGGGGGGCAGGGAGGACCATCCCTGCCAGCTGAGGGCACTGGGCCTCTCCCACGCCAGGGGCCACCAGGGACCTCAGCACACAGCAGGGCGAGTCTTGGCTTTGGGGCTGATGAGGTCATGCTCTCATTTCACTGTCTCCCATGGCCTGGCACAGTCTTACAGGTCATAGGATGGGGTTTACGGACCAGTTTGGGGGGGTTACTGAGCAAGTGATAGGGGGCCTAATAAGGTGGCTAGATGGCAGACCTGGTGAGTAGGTGTCCCAGAAAAGGGATGGGGGAGGTCCTGGAGGAGGGAATGTCAGCCAGGATGGGTATAGGAATAGCTCTGGGCCTCCAGAAACAGACTTCTGACTGGAGGGCGGGGCTTGAGCGCACTGACAGGGGGGGTAAGGACCCAGAGGTGGGCTGTCAGGGTGAGGGGACTCAGGCAGCAGGGGGACAGATATGGGGCCAGGGGCTCAGAAGGCTCCCAGTACCAGGGGCTTCGCCCTCCTGTATGGGCACAAGAGCCTGTGTTTCTCAGGGGGAGGTGCATGTCCCGGCCTGGCTGCAGAGAGATACTAACGGTTCGGACTGGAATGTGGGTGGGGTGCTGGGGAGCGCTTTGGGGATTCAGCCGGGCTGGGAGGAAGCCGGCAGAGGGGCTGGGCGGAGGGGCAGTGCAGAGGGCTGGGTGCCATGTAGCTGCCTGGTGGGTGCACAGTGAGCAGGCACTGGGCCCTGCACAGAGGGAGGTGGTGGGAAGGAGGTGTGGAGCCCAGCCAGAGGACGTCCAAGCCAGGGCAGGGCAGGGAGGGGACACTGTGAGAAGGGGGACCCAGGGGTAGGATTCAGGAGACAGCCTGGGGCTGGAGACTAAAAGGGAAGCTGTGAGCACAGAGGGTCCTTGCAGGGGTCACCGAGTCTGTGCTCCTGGGGCGGGTCTGGGAGCCACAAAGACCAAGGGCCCCTCGGAGGAAGGCCAGGGGGCCAGGAGAGAGTGGCGTGGGTGGGGCTTTCACCTCTCTGTAGGGGGGACGGGAGGGACCAGGCCCTGCTGGATGCCAGGTGGGACAGGGGTGAGGATATGTCAGAGCAGAAAGGGGGTCAGCGGCCAAGAGCAAGTGTCCTGTGGACAGAGTGGCTCCATCCTCCTGTCCTCCAACACCTTCTGAATTTCACAGCTACGGAAACATGTCAAGAATAGCTCAAGAAACCCACATGCTTTTCACCCGGATACAACAGGCGGAGAGACAGAGGCCCATGGGGACGAGCTGTCCTCCTCTGGCCTGTGGGGGCGCTGCTACCCCTCCAGACACCTGCTCCTACGGCTCAGGGCACCGTCCCCCTGGGGGCCTGAGGGGGGGAACCGAGTAACCCTATCTACCAGGTTGCGCTAGTCAGCTTTCCTCCGTTGTTCCCGTGTCACTATGGCCTTTAAGGTCGGGTCTGCATCTGGCAGTGTCCGGGGGTCCCATCCAAGGTGGCATTGCTGACATGGCCACCAGGACTCTGTGAATGCCCCCAGATGTGGATGAGGCCTAGTCCGTGGGGCGTGGCCTGGGCTGGCGCCATGGGCAGGCACCAGTGGGTGTGTCACGCCCTCGCAGAAGCCTGGGTCAGGGCCTCGTCTGCCCGGGCCTGCGGTGCCAGCTACCTAGTGCTGGCAAGGGTGCAGGCGGGCTTCTCCTGGGGGAAGGCGCCACTGCTTGTGGAGTCTGGGCTGGGCTCCACATCTGTCTGGCCCATGCTGGGAATGTGTAGGAGCCCCAGCTGCTTTCCATTCACGTCCGTGGCCCCCATGGGCTGGCCCGCCAGCTTCCTGAGGACTTGCCTGCACCCCACAGCCCTTGGAGGGTGGGTGGAGGGCTCCTGGCCATGGGGAGATGGGGGTGCAGCTCTGCCAGGGGATGAAGGTCAGAGGGGCCTGGCAACTTGGGAACATGGAATCTGTGCACAGAGCAACGTCCCAGGGCCTCCTCCCAGATGACAAGGGCGTCTGAGCAGAGGCCTCCAGGCCCCCAGAGGAGCTGGGGCTGGGCTTGGGCCGAGGCTTCCCAGAGGCTGGGGATGTGCCAGCACTGCCATCCTGAGAACTCGGGCAGAGGTATGCGAGCTGCCGCAGGCCCCCTGCAACTCACTTCGATCCTGAGGCAACAGGCAGCTCCTGAGGGCGGCAGTGGCCTCACAGAACTCAGTGCCTCGGGGGGAGGCCTGGGAGGGACATTGCCACCGCAGTGGCGGGTGGCTCCAGGCCATGGCCTCACAGAACTCAGTGCCTGGGAGGGACATTGCCACCGCAGTGGCGGGTGGCTCCAGGCCGCGGCCTCACAGAACTCAGTGCCTCGGGGGAGGCCTGGGAGGGACATTGCCACCGCAGTGGCGGATGGCTCCAGGCCGCGGCCTCTTTGATGCCGAGCAGGCTCTGCCCTCAGCGCTGATGCAGGGGCTCGGTGAGCCTCCAGGGCAGGCCAGACAGAAGCCTCTCGCCCCTTCCGCACACCCTCCTTCCCTCGTGCTCTGTCTGAAATGCAGCCCTGCTTCCTGCTGGCCGGGCTGTGGGCTACACAGCAGAGCTGGCTCTGGGCAGTGAGGCTCCTGCCCGCAAATGCCATGGTGGAAATGTTGGCAGTGCCCAGCAGCTAACAGGCAAACCAGTCAACCGTCTCCCAGGACTTCCTGCCCTCAAGAGTCCCTTTTTATCAACTCAGTGAGAAAAAACACACTCTGTATTTGGAACATTTTCTAAAAGCCAGAAAGTTCAGGTCCAAAACAAAACTGGTAAACAAAACGTGCCAGTATTTAAAGATTGTTGGACATGCTCATAATTAGAGCACCCAAGTGGGTGAGTCCAAGTTTTCATATTCAAAACTGAGAATGCTGAGTTGAAGGGTAACATCCATCCTGAGGGGCACAGCCAGCCCAGGCTCTGCAGTCAGGCGGTCATGCAGCGCCAGCAGCCGCTCGGGGTGCGCCTCCAATGGTGAAGCGCTGAGCTCCACTATGCACATGCATCGCATGTCTGCTTTTAGGAGAAAGGAGAGAGCCGTTCCGCTTCCACATGCACTTCCTGCTTCCCACAAACCAGATCCCGCCTGAAGCTGTGCCCAGATGCGACCGCAAGCCTTTATTAAACACCACTGCACGAAAGGCATGGGGCACTAATGACAGATGTGAGTACAGCTAGCAGGTGCCAAGGACCACTCTGGCAGGCCACAGACAGGTTGCAGAGCCAGCTCCTGGTCCTCCTTTTCTGCCTCGAATGGTTTCCAGCCTTGGTTCAGTTTTCCCAGCTGTGGACCTCGGGAAAACTGGAGCGGCCACATGGGGCTGCACGGAAGGCCATGCCTGGGAAGGCTGTTCTTTCAGGTGACATCCTTGAGGTGACTGCATGCCAAGACAGGGATGGGCAGGCAGCTGGTCATGCAGGAAATGGCTGCCATCCGCCGGCATGTACAGCGGACTGCAGGACAGGAGGCTGCCAGGAGCTGGGCTCAAGTGCCATCCGGTGACCTGCCCCAGAGAAACACCATTCTTCAAGGTGGATGGTGGAGATGCTGCCGCTAGGCAGCACCAGTGAGGCCGTGGCCCCCGAGCCACCCAGCAGAGCATGTGTAAACACCTCCATCAACTGCAGCCACAGCAAATATCACTGAACACCACCCAGGAAGATTACCCAGCCTCTAAATCATTCAAGAATGTACCACATATGAGTAGGTGTTTTCTGTCTTCCTAAAATCTTCTACACTCTTGCACAGATAATGACACAATAAAATTAAGCAACCCAGGCTGGCATAGAAATGGTGGATGTGAAGTGCCCTTGACACCTGGGAGTAACACCTGGTGGTCCTGTCTCCCCACAGGATGCAAGTATCTGCCCTGGCCATGAACACAGCCCCCATTTCTAACTGGCTCTGTGCTGTCTTGACAGCAGAGCTTGTGGCAGGTGGGGGGTTCTGGGATGGGGTGGAGACTATTTCCTAGTGCCTGGGGACAGCCAGGGCCTTGGCTTAGCCTGCGCTGGGTGCCCTGTCTGGGGCAGTTGGCCATTCAGGACCAGGGCCTGGGGCCATCTTCTCAAGCATGTCCCACAGCCCTGGGTGCATGGGGGGCACACTGCACATGGGTGCATTTGGGTCACAGTGGGCTGTCACCTCTGAGGGATGCTGCCAGAGAAATTAAAGCCTGTGGGCCACTGTGGGGGACTGAGCCCTGGCTCCTAGTGGCAGAACAGCCCCGGAAGATGTGCTGTCATTTCAACAAGCAACATTGAAAAGAACACACAGCAGTGTGTCAGGCCCCTGAGCCCACCAGCAAACAACCCCTCCTGGAGGGCTGACATTCCTGCAGGAGAACCAGGCATGAACACACGGCGGGGAGGATGGCATGGTCACTGCAGACAGGGGGCAAGGGAAGAGGGTGGGGCAGCACTCCCAGCTGGGGCCACCGAGGTGACCTCGGGCCCAGACGGAGGGAGCCAGGACCAGGGAGAGTGAGGGAGGGGCAACGACTTCCTCCTTTAGAGACGGGCCTCCTCACCCACCACCCAGAAGGGCTGGAGAGAGGAAACCTGGCGAGAATGAGAGGGCCGGCTGCCGGTCGAGGCAGGCTGGACTCCATGTGCCAGGCCTCGAGGGCGTGTGCTGCCCTCCTTACCATCCCACCTTCACATGGGCATAGGCATCTGGACACTCAAGTCTCCCAAACCTCCCTTTGTGCCCAAGAGCTACCTTGTCCCTAATCCCCGCTTCATTCCTCCGGGAAGCAGACAGAAGGGCCGACCTGTGGGGACAGGCAGAGGACCGATGACCGGGGCCCACCTGCAGGAGGGGAGCCATGCTTCCATGGGAAAGAGGCCCACTGAGAAACGTGCCTGGCCCAGCCGCCTGGTGTCTTCTGCCTCCGGGGGCCGCTCAGCCATCTCTGACCATCCCCTCCTCTTTCCCCACCAGCGCCACAGGAGGGCCACTCACAGACCAAACTCCACACCTGAATGTCATGGAACTGAGTGGGTTTAGGGTGCTTACAGGGTTGCACAACCACCACCACAATCTAATTCTAGAACATTTTCATCCTCTTGACCAGTGTCGTTTCCACTGGCAGTCACCCCCTGCACCACTGGATCTGCCTGCATTTCACACAAATGAAGCACACAACACAGTATTTGGTCTTTTGTGTCTGGCTTCTTTCGTTCAACATCATGTTTCAAGGTTCATCCGGGTTGTAGCAGGAATCAGACTTCGATCCTTTTTATGACTGATATTCTGGGGTGTGGGGGCCACATTCTGTTCAGCCTGTCTCCAGCTGTGGGCATCTGGGCTGTTTCCATGGTTTGGCAATTATAAATTGTGCTGCTATAAATATTTGTGTGTAAGACCTAAGTGGATGTGCGCTTCTGCTTCTCTCGGGTGCACGCCTGGGGGGAGTCGCTAGATTACATGGTGACTCGGCTTCACCTCTGCGGAGCTGCAGGACTGTTCCCCACAGCGGCTCACCTTGTTCTCTAATATCGAAGATGCTCTATTCCGCACGTCGGCATTTCAACGTTTTTCCAAATAGTTTCCTGCTGTCATAAGCAGCATAGCAACACTAACCTTTCCTGCTGAAAATGGGCCTCTGAGTGGCTTTCAAGACTTTGTGTGCACGGAGAGTGCTACGGGCTTCCTAGGGTGTCAGTCCCAGGGTCAAGCAGGGTGCCTGGGGAGTGTGCTTCTGGGCCGCACACCATGATGGGGTCAGGGCCATCTGCTGTGGGTTTGCGGAAAGGTCAGCACCCTTAGGAGACTTACGGGCAGCGACTGCGGGGGCTGTGCCGGCGCCCCCGGGGTGGACAGGGCGGCGCACTCACAGGGACGCACCCGAGGGGCCGGAGCCCAGGAACCCAGGAACCCCGGCCCAGCTCCCGAGGAGGCCCCGCCCCTCCCCAAGAGGCCCCGCCCCACCCCACCTTGCTCAGGTGCAGCTGCTGCTGGAACTGCTGCTTGTGCTTCTCCAGGAACTGCTGGTGCTGCTGCTGGATGACCAGTTGCTGCAAGGCCTGCGCGCTCTGGGGCAGCGGTGCTGACTGCGTGCGGCCCAGCGGCCGGTGCTGCCGCAGCTTGTGTGCTGACGGTGCTGCGCGCTCCGCGCCGACCAGCGGCTGCGCGTGCAGGGGCAGCGCTCCCAAGCCTGCAAGACGCGTCCGCGATGAGGGCAGTGGGAGGGCGGGGGCCATGGGCGCTGCCGGGTGCCCCCGCGATCCCCCAACCCCAGCCCGCCTTTACCGTGTGCCCCCCCCCCGGAGACCACCCCCTGGGCCCGCCTGCACCGCGTCCTCCCGTGTCCCCCCCCCCACCGGCCCGCCTGCACCACACGCCCGCGAACTCCAGGGCAGGGCAGCCACGGGGGCACTGCGATGGCTTCAGGCCCCTGAACAGCTGCCGGGGGGCGCCCGGTGTGCTCAGAAGGCTGCAGCCGCGGCTCCTCCCAGACTGGCAGAAGACTCATTTGGGAGGAAAACTGGGCCCGGGGAATCATTTTAAGGGTCTCTTAAGGCTGTGACGGTGCGCACAAGGAGGTATTAGCACCCTTAGAAATCCTGAAACAAACTGTCAAAACCTCTTCGTACAAATTTCCACAAAGGTTTTGCCAAATTGCTTTCCTCCCTGCTGCCCAGGCTTCTTGGCCACACCTGGACCTAGATTAGTGCTAACGAGGAATCTGTACTGATGGGAAACATCTGTTTCAATTTGCATTTCAGTCGTTTCACAGTGCAAACTCTGCATGGGAACTCGGCAGTTAAACATTTTTTCTTTCTGCAACCTTTCCACCTACCTGTATTTCTTCTTTTGCAAATTGTTGGTTCCAGCAGTTTACCATTTTTCCATGGTTCTAGGGGAAAAGGGCCTAACAAATCCTTTCCCTGCTACCTGCTTATCTGTTCTCAGACCACCCTTGTTGGACAAACCTGAAACAAAATCATGCAGCCCGAAAAGGTCAAGGGTGTCTGACTGGGGAGGAAGGAAAATGCACAGGCCACAGCAGCTCCCGGATGCCCGAGTGGACACCTCCTGCAGCCGGCACCTGCCCGAGGGGTCCCTTTCCCCCCAGTGAGTCTGTGTGGGGAAGTTGGGGTTCCTATGGCCAGGATCCTCACTGAATTTAAACCACCTGATGATGTAACTGGCCAGTTGCTAGGCCATTGCTTCCACACCTTTAGGCAATAAGCCATTATTGCACTACATAGAGAGCTCGGCCGAGTGCTCTGGGTGGAGGCAGAGATGCTAGTGCTTGACCTACCACTGGGAGAACAAGCCGGGTAATAAACCCTTTCACCCCAAAGAACATTTTGATGTCAGTTTCTTTGGTCACACTGAATCCATAGTGAACTTGCCCAGGAGTGAAACCCACTGGCAAGACAATTGGCGTAGTCGGCAGGAATCATTGCTGACCAAGGAAAAAGGCTGGCTGCCCTTATGGGAGGGGTGCTTCAGTGGGCTGCCCCTGTGAATGGGGAGACAGTGGACTGTCCCCCAGTGGGTACGTGGTCTGAGGTGGCTTGCCTCCTAGAGGACTGGGCCCCACCCCAGGACTGGAGGCAGGTGGAGGTGACACCTGAGGCCGTAGGGGTGGCCCTTGGTATAGTAAGCAGATCCTCTGAGAGGCAGAGTGCCCGGAGGCAGCGGGGACTGTGGGTTGGCTGCTTCTCACAGTCTTAAAAAAGTCTACAGAAAAGAAGGACACACTTCTGAAAAAGACCCAAGAATTGGCAGCACGAGAACGCGAGCTGCAAACTTCTGTGGATGCCCTGAAGAAGGAAACGGCATTGATGTGAGAGGAGGCGGCAGGAGAGCGCTGGGTGCTGTTGAAGAGGTACAAGATTCCTTACAGAACAAGACGGCAGTGCTGCCAGGTGCTCTGAAGGAGGAAGAGGCCATCAAGGAAAAGGATGCACTCCTGAGAGAAGCACAGGCGGAGGCGGCGCGAGAACGGCAGCTGCGAAGCACTGAGGTGAAGGTTAGAGACCTTCTGAAGCCCGAGCCGGCATTGCTGCGAGGCACAGGAGAAAGGGTAAAGGTTGTAGCAGAGGAGGCACTCGGGGGAGGGGAGAGAAAGGTGCCATCAGCCCCAGAAACGGAGGAGCTGGGGAAGGATGAAGGGGTGGTGTCGGGGGCACTGACCCCTCTTGTATTGAAAGCACACCCAGTGGTTATAAAGAAAATAAAGACCCAGCAGCTGAAAGTTCCCCCAGGAGAGGAGCAGCCCCCTCCCCAGGTCGTGGAGCTCTCTATGCTCCGCCCCTGTACTCAGGCTGAGCTGCTGGATTTGGGCTCCTGGTTTAGGAAGAAGCCCTCGGAGTCAATATCAGCTTGGCTCCTGCATCTGTGGGACTTAGGGGTGGATGGGATTGTTCTGTTGGGATGAGAGATGGGAAAGCTGTCTTCCCTGACAGTGCAGCCTGCCTTGAGGCAGCGATTACAAAATGCACATAGGCCCCAGGGAGTCACTCCGTCCTCGACTGGCTTATGGCTGCACTTTGTGCTGTGTGGCCCAATCAGGGTGATCTGCCATCCTCTCCTGCTAGATGGCAGGTGTATGCTGAGCTGCAACAGGTGTTATGAAAGCTAGGCATAAGAAATGCCATCTGTAGTGCAGAGAATTATGGCCCAGATGAAGAGATTTTCACTACTGGGATGAGAAATATTGTGCTTCAAATGGCTCCCACATCCCTCTCTGGGTCTCTAGTGGCCATTCTTTCCCCTCACTTAGGGAATCCCATAAGTGAGGTGACATGTACAGTAGCAGACTTAGGAGAGGCTGAAGCAATGAGAACACAGAAAGAAAGAAGGGTTTCTACTCACAAGAAGAATTTAAAGGGCCCATGAAGATTACAAGGACCCAGGTGTGGGTTGGTTTAATATGGGCAGGAACAGATGGAAGGAAATTAGACGGGAAGTCAAACAGGATCTTACTAGAGCTGTGGCAACAGCTGAAACCAGGGCAGAGTTCCAGCCATTAAGACCAAAGAGGCAGAGGCCAGAGACAGAGCCATGCGTCTGGCCTGTGTGTTTACAAGACTTCCTGCTAGAGAACCAGCCAACCTCACTTGAGTGCACACAGGAAGATGATTGGGGAACATGGTTCGCCTGAGGGGAAGGTCAAGGTACCTGCCCTGAGGGACCAGGGTGGGGACCGGAGACCACATGTTGAAATAGCTATCCATTGGTCCCCAGTGAACATACGTGTCCTGGCTCTGGTGGACACAGGGGCTGAATGTTCACTGATTCACGGTAACGCTGAGCAGTTCCCCGGGACTACCACTATCATAGATGGATATGGGGGTAAGGCTATCAGAGAGAAACAAGCCCAAATCTCTTTGGGAATAGGGTGTCTACCCCCAAAAGTGTACACTGGTATATATCTCCTATCCCTGAGTAAATTTTGGGGATAGATATCCTGCAGGGTCTATGGCTGCAGACCACTGCAGGTGAGGTCAGACTGAGAGTACGTGTGGTGAAGGCAGTTCTGAGGGGACATGCTAGGCACCTGCCCATAGCTTTGCCTGTGTCTCGGCAGGTAACTAATACCAAACAGTTTGAACTGCCTGGAGGGAATAAAGAGATTGGAGAAACTCTCCAGGAACTGGAAAAGGCGGGTATTATGAAGCCCACCCATAGTCCTTTCAATTCCCCAGTGTGGCCAGTAAAAAAGCCAGATGGCTCCTGGTGTATGACTGTGGATTACAGGGAACTGAATAAAGTCACACCCCCTATGCCTGCTGCTGTCCCCTCTATTGCAGGCCTGATGCATACCCTCAGCCATGAACTAGGAACACACCATTATGTGGTAGATCTTGCTAATGCCTTATTTTCCATTGACATTGAGCAGGAAAGTCAGGAACAGTTTGCCTTCACGTGGGAAGGATAGCAATGGACTTTCACCGTCCATCCACGGGGATACCTCCACAGCCCCACCATCTGTCATGGGCTTGTAGCCCAGGACTTAGCTACATGGGAGAAACCACCAACGGTGTGGCTGTACCATTACAGTGATGATGTCATGCTCACGTCCGATTCTCTTTCAGATCTAGAAGGCGCAGCACCTAGACTGCTGCAACATCTACAGGAGAAAGGATGGGCTGTGAACAGCACCAAGGTTCAGGGACCTGGTTTGCCTGTCAAATTCTTGGGGGTCATCTGGTCAGGTAAGGCCAAAGTTATACCAGAAGCAGTTATAGATAAAGTCCAGGCCTTTCTACCCCACAACTGTAGCATTGCTACAGGAGTTTTTGGGTCTTCTAGGCTACTGGAGAGTGTTAATACCGTACTTGGCATAAATTCTGAAGCCCTTATACTGGTTGGTAAGAAAGGGCATCAGGTGGGACTGGGATGAGCCATGTGCATCTGTCTTTTCTACAGCAAAACAGGCAGTCAAGGCCATGTAGGCCCTGAGTGTGACAGACCCATCAAGGCCCTGTGAGCTGGATGTTCACGTGACTGAAGACGGTTATGGCTGGGGTCTCTGGCAGCAGCTTGAACGAACTCACCAACCTATTGGATACTAGCCACAACTCTGGAAATGGGCAGAGGTACGATACACTTTGATAGAAAAACAACTGGCTGCCATGTATCACGCCTTGCTGGCGACAGAACCCGTCACTGGAATGGCCCCGATAAAGGTAATAACAACCTATCCCATCTTGGGGTGGGTATGAGACTGGACCCAAAAGCCAAGGAATGGTGTGGCACAAACGCCCACACTGGCCAAGTGGGGTGCTTACCTACAGCAGCATAGTGCCCTCTCTAGTAGCCTCTTGAGCGAAGAACTCCAATGCTTATTGGGGCCAGTGACATACACTAATGAGAAGCAGGAAGAACTTGCTTTTGAACCATCAGTAGCAGAGAGTCCCTATCGGGAGGGAAGAGCCCCTATATCTGAAGATGCATGGTGCAAAGACGGCTCCAGCCGTGGGCAGCCCCCAAAATGGAGGGCCGTACCTTTCCATCCTAAGACTGAGACAATGTGAATGGAAGATGGTGAGGGGAAGAGAAGCCAACGGGCAGAGCTGCGGGCTGTGTGGCTTGTGATCAGCCAGGAGCCCTCCCCGATAGTTGTCTGCACTGACAGCTGGGCTGTCTATTGGGGCTTGATCCTGTGGCTACCAACCTGGTACCATGCCAACTAGCTGG